AGCTCCTTGCCTACCTCAGCAAGTGCCATAGCAGGTGTTATATGACCCGCGCGCGAGCTTCCACCATCCCATGTATCTACCTGATTTGTACTCCATGCTCAATACATGTCTCCGTTTGTATCACTGGCTTCAATCAATGTTGACCCCGCTGATGGATCGTCGTGCATGAGCTCCCCAATGGGGTCGCGAGCACGCGGGACGTCCGGACTGATAACGCGCTAATATGTTGATTAATATTAAATATATCATGATATATTAAACCCGCAGATCCTGATACGCTCCAGATTCTCCACGACTGGGAATGTGCTGGGAACATAGGATGGAACATGGTCGCAATGTGTGCGTAATGCAGTTAATACCATGATATTCCCAGGTCCGGCGGAATGTGATGGGAACATGCTGGGAATGTGGCGGTAATGCGCTCATCCTCTCCTTGTTCCCCAACCTCCGTAATCTGGCGCTTCACGCGGTGCTCGCGGAGCACTTCATTGACCTTGAGAAACTACCGAACAGACGGTGATAAGAAGCCCGAGGAACCGCAAGGGCGTGGACAGCGATGCGCCGGGCATATAATCGCAGCAATTCAAGTTCCACAGGGACCCTTCCGGGAGCATCGCTGGAGGCCTAGACGGGGCTGCAAGAGTCAGGCCGCTCTATAGGCGTGCCGCGGCCCAGTACAGAACACACAAACGCGACGTTCATGGAGACGGGAGCACGCGGCCCGCCACGGGCCGGGGCGAGAAGCACCTCGGATGATCGAAGGAAGGCCCCTATCCCGATGGCGGAGGCAGTAGACTTTCATATGAGCATCGGGTTGCAACAAGGGGTACAAGGGACCCTAGTAGAGCGAAGAGCTTGTTGTAGGCACTGTGCGCCCGGCCTGGTGGAGACTAGTCGCGGCTGCAGGGGCAACACGCAGACTCCGCCGGCAGCGTCGTAAGATCCAGCAAGTGAGCTACGCGTCCGACGACAAGGCGTGGGTACCGTGTCCAGGACAGCATGAGGCTATGAGACGTCGTCGTTGTCCGTTACTGGCGTGGCGTCCGCAGTCGTGTCACCAAACACAAAGCACGGAGCTCCGCTGAGGGGAAGAGAGACGGACTGAGCTTGGACCGGTGCAAGCAGCGACGGCAGGCGACGTTCTGCGATACCTGTCCACCTATCCGGGTGGCGTGGCGGCCTTCTGGAAGCAGTCCGGAAGCACATCAGTTACCAGAAACGTTATCACATGTGGCAAACCGCTCGTCTGATACAGACCGGTCTCGCCTCGAGGGAGACCCTCATGAAGGATTAGCACTCGTCTCGTGCGCCTTCTGACGAGCGCGGGGGCCAGAAAGGAGGACGCAGATCCTCGTCATTGGGGTCGCGGACTCGGAGGTCTAACGGGATGGGAAGGAGAAGGCAAAGCGCAGTCCGACCGGGAGCAGGAATTGGACGGAAGATCACCATCATTTGGACGGGAAGATTCGAGGACTATGCCGAGGAAGGTAAGTGAGCGTGGACCACGTACGCCGACCGTTGCTCGTACCTTATCCTTATCCTGCGCCACGTCTAGCTACAGGAATGATACAGATGATGCCCGAGAGGTGGGACAAGCCGTGTAACTTCGGGGAAACGCTGCGCCAACGTGAGACAACGATCGCTTGATTCGAGCAGGACGCGATCTGCACGAGTCCCGGCACCCAAACGAGCTACCGAGGTGCTGTGCGTGTTGGCGGCGTTGGCAGACGGGGCGGACTGCATGCGGACGGAAGGAGGAACCAGAAGGCGCAAGCACAAGACGCAAGGCCGGGCGGATGGACGAGTGGCGGGGAAAAGGAAGCGAAACCGGCGGTGCGGGGGAGATGGTTTAGACGCCTGCTTCTCGCCTAAGCTCGGAACGATCACCCCGTATATGGTAACCGGACCGGTCCGTGACTGAGATCTCGCTGAGATCTGCTGCAGTATTTGAGCTCCTTCCCTCCTCGCAGACTTATCTTGCATTGCCCCCTGTCCCCCACATAGCGATCTACCATCTATCCTCCAACGTCCCTTGCCTGCCCCACATCATGAGCTCCGTCGACGACCTCGTTGCCTCCCTTAACGCGAACCATATCGGCCAGGAAGCAATGGAGCTCGCTGCTCTCCAGGTGCGTGCCCGTCCGCCACAGACGTCCACGGATGTCATTGACAAAGGCAAACCAGGCGCAACTCCAGCAGGCCCTCCTCTCCCAACAAATGGCCCATAACGCCTCCCGAAGCGGTCCACTGAACTCACCAGTCATGCGTACGCCATCTGCGAGCATCTCTTTGGACCCCTCCGAGGCCGCATGTATGAGGCACAACAGCGTCTCCAGCACCAAGATGAGGTGCTCCATCGACGAGACCCCAGAGTCGGACGACATGGACGAGGATGAGCGCATGGTCGAGGACCTCCTCCTCGCTTCCCCCGCATCTCCGTCGACCTCCTCAGCGCCTTTCTCCCGTACGCCACAGTCGTCAGTGTCAGGTGTGTCGCACTCCCCCGCACATCGCCCCCGCAAAACGAGCCTCTCGGTGCACATGATACCCCTCGACCACTCCCACCACGAGCTCCCCTCTCCCAACACCTCCCTTTTCACCACCACCGACCCCTTCTACCTCGCTTCGCTGCAGAATGCGCACAGCCACGCGCCATCGTCGTCGGTGTTCGCGCAAGCGGGCCGTCCGTCCGCCCACTCGCCCTTCCTCAAACACCACATGTCGTACAGCTCCTTCGGCCACGGATACCAGTCCGTGGCACCCGACCACCAGCCGCATCACAACATGTTCGCGGCTACTGCGGCAGCGTTCTCTTCATGAGCGCGCTGCCCCCACGCCACCATCCGTTCCACCATGCATATCACAGAACCAACGCCCACCTCTCATCGTTTCACCGGTGTATTATCAGTGTATCATACTTAATTATCGACTTCGCAACATCACACTACCAGCACAACGGCGCTCGATATGCACCCACCGGTCTCCCATTCCGCCGACACTCCCCCAACTGCACGTCACTAACTCGGTCACCCCGTGGTGTCGCTCCTCGACAGCGCGGGGTTGCTCCACAAAGCTTGGACGCGGGCGAAGGAAGTCCGGGGCAGAGATGGCCAGCAACCGGGGCAAGGCGTTGATTGCGAGGCCAGTTCCGGCGGCTATGGCAGATCCCGGCAGCATGCTATTTCAGGGTCGGGACGCTCGCCGGTCGGTCAAAAAGGACAGATGCAGCACCTTCGCATCTCAACGTCGAGACAGTGCTAGCCACCTGACTATCTCGCGCGCTGCTTGTGTCGTGCTTCTCATACTAGAAACCGCTCGGACCTCGCATCCTGGCCTCGTTGTCTTCATCATCTGCCCCAGACGTCCCCCAGCATACCTGAGACATCGCGCTACGTACATATCTCTTGCTGCATTTGATCTTGGCCCTAAAGAGTGTCTTTGTTCGGTCTCTGGATTGTAACGTCCATTGTGCTTGTTGACTTTGACATCACTCAAAGTTACTGTACGAATGTACTTGCCTAGTAAACGTCCACGCCGTTCGTGCTCCCTCCGATCTCGCTGCGCTCTGCATTACGCCGGGTTGGACTCCCATCATCATCACACGCATACCTATACATCGTATACATGCTCCGAGAAACATTCAATGGCGCTTCCCACACATCCCACACCACTCTCACGACGTCTTGCCACAGAGGTGCCGCCTACAATAAAGCACCGCATCTTCCTTTCACCAGGGGCATCGAGCATCACGAATCATCATTGTCATGGCATCTTCAGTGCTACAGCATACAGCTAGCGGCCTTCGTGGAAATGCACATATTTTACCAGCAGCGTCTAAACGCACTTGTCCGTGCAAGTTCAGATTGACTTGCGCCGTGGGGTCGGGACTGGCAGCTCTGGCCCTTGCAGCTCGATAGTTAGCTCATATGACCAGCTGGGGGCGCTTGCGTGATGCTTTGGCCGATACGCACAATGCAACCCAAGTTCGGCGAAGTGGGTATAGGTATGGAAGACGTTTCATTTGCTCCTTCACAGTATAGGCCGGCACCAAATAGGACACCCGTTCCCCCGGATCCCATTGCACCTTTGATATCCGGACGAGCGGGATCCGAGGTGTCCGAGTCCTGTTGGCGGCAAAAAGCCTCATCACTCGGTGCTCGGTGCTCCTCGCAGCTCGAAGGCATAAGTACATATATTCGGGCGCGACGGTAGTGCGGACAACGTCGGTAGTTCGGGACGGGCAAGCCGCGAGAGCCACTGTAACTGCCGTCTGGGGACGCTTCTGCTTCCTGCCGCTCGTCTTCCAGGACGGTCGGGCACTCGGTTTCTGCTACCTATCATCCTGTACTCTTCTCGCTGTATAGGCGTCCCGAAGTTTTCCGGTATTCGGCGCCGCTAGTACACTCAGACCGCACCAGCGCTCGGAACTACTTGCGCAGCGGCGATACGAACCGTCCGGTTCGCATATTTTTGTTCCAGCATCTCAACCCGGACCGCTGCAAACGACTCCACGGCTTCATTCGCGAACTCTACATCAAGTGCTCGGAACAGCGGTGCGGAGGCCCACAGGTTGACAACGCAACGTTCGCAAAACGGAGCGCCACAAACGTCCGCGATCGACAGCGCGGCAGGCGCATAAACGTGGCCGCGATGCGGTCCCGTTCTCGCCCGCTTTCGGATTCTGTTTTCGCGAGAGTTGGACTCGGAGCGCGGTGACTTGTTCACGTTCCGCTCGCCCGCGCTCCGTTGTATGTAAGGTGCCCGCTGGTCATCGATATATCCGCGGCGACTCACTCAGGTGCGTCTCCCAGCGCTTGAGCTCGAACTCAAAGGAGGACGCTGAAGGGAATTCTGTAGTGGACTTCCACGAAGGAAGGCTGCACGAGGACTTTGCGCACTATTTTGAGCGTGGTCGGGCCACGCTCTATCCGCATGTGAGGCTTGGCTGTGACAGTACAAGGCCACAGATACAGTACGTACTCGTCCACGGCCCTCTCCATGAGCGTGTCGAGCACGGATCCTAGCGAAGATCCGGAATATTGCCACTCCATGGTGCCCGACAGCCGCGATTCCTCGTCCTTGCGGCTCCAGACACATGCGCAGCTGTACAGTATGTATAGGGTTTGCCCGCAGGCCTTCCACCGATGAGGTAGCAATAGAAACCGCTGCATCAGAGCCAGGGCAGCCTGAGGCACATAGCCTTCATATCCCCGCATTCGTTGGGATCTTGTCGCGCTCCCAGAACGCGGGGTGATATCGCGTACTCTCAGCCATCTCGCTGGGCACGTTCTCAGCGATGACTCGACCAGCACAACGTGTGGCTGAGGACGGCGGAGCTCCTTGCTCCCGTTCTCGACCGCGGTGCCTGGTGGGTGCTATATAGATGCAGAGCGGGCGTGGGTGCGCGAGCTGCGCGCAGCTCTCGCTCGCTATACCGCTTGCCTTCTGAGTTCATATCCCCTGCAGCGCGTCACGTCTCGTGCTCTCCCTTGGGACGATCGTCTGCTACGCGGAGACCATCTGTCCTAGCCGCGCAACCCAATCTCCGTCCTCGCGCTCACACGTTGTGGCCGGGCACGCCTCGAGGTCGCGCTTGCCTGGATAGGAGTGGGTGCCTCTATCGATCGCTGCTCGCCGTTAATCTCGCTCCTCCAGCTGTGACCGACCTCTCGCACCATCTTGCGCGACTCGAATAGACCTCCTCGTGCGGCACAGGCACCGCTACATCATGGATCATCTGCAGATCATCTCGTACACCAGCCTGGTGGAAGACCTGCCATTGCTCGTGGGTCTATTCATATCCGTGCTCGTCTACGCGGCATACAGAATTTGGGCACGGCACGAGGCAGCGCGAGCACGGAGCTCGTCCCTCCCTGCTGAGCTCCCCAGCGAGAAGGCACGGTACGCGAGCGCGAAGGACCGCGCGCCAGGAGGTATGTTGTTCCCCTCATTGCACCTTCGACGTTGGGTGTCCTTGGGCCCATTCATCAATGCGTATGCCCACGTCTGTGTTGTACGGGGCGCATATGCACCTACCGCAGCCGCAAACCTCCGCTGACATCGGTCTGTTTCTCTTTTTGTTTTCGTTGGTCCAGAATGGCTCCCCGTAAAGTTCGACTACCCGCGCGTCGAGCCGAGCCCGGCGCACTTCAGCGCGCTCAAGCCGATCCCCTACCGCCCGTTCAAGTGGGGCGACTACCAGTGAGCATGCCCTCGACTCTCTTCCTCTCTGCCCTGTCATGGGGCGTACCGCGGGACGCGGCGCTGAAGCCATTCCTCGCTACGCGCGCGCGCGACAGCGTGACCATGGGCATCAAGAGCATGCCCTGGGACGAGTGGATCGAGCTGGACGACGAGTTCGCGCAGACGCACCGCGTGTGCGAGTACCGCATCCGGACGCTCGGGGACCGCCTCGTGCGGGTGCACCCCGCGCAGCCGGGGGTCGTCGAGTCGGGGCACGCGGCGGGTGAGCTGTCTCTGCGTTCCCCAAGTAGTCAACAACTGTTCTGACTGGAGAGGGTTTGCCACGGACGCAGCGGAAGAGTGCATGTACGAGCTCGCGGAGTACCTCTCACGCAGGCATCCGGACGTGTATCGCGTTGCGCGGCATCCGGTGTCGCAGCGGGAGGACGAGAACGGGTGGTATGGCGAGGGCAGGATCAGGACGATCACCATCGTACCCTTCCAGGAGACGTATGACTTGGAGAAGGAGGAGCCGCTGAAGGTTGCACGTTCACTGTGGGTTCTGTTGATGGCTCGGCAGTTGCGTTACCTTCTGACAGCGCGGTCGCATGCACGTAGAATCCAGGAGGACTTTACGATCATGGTAGAAGGCTCGGATGGACGCTACTACCTTCAAGCTGGGGCCGTAGTTATCGCGGGTGAGTCCTGACGATCCGCTCAAAGACAGTCTTCTCTGACCAAACGCCGTTACAGGCTCGTGGAGGCTCTCAGACAAGATCGGCATGCCCCTCGAAGACATCCATATCTCCGGCAACGTCCCCCAATGTGAGTAGCACCAGCTAGCTCAGCAGCCAGACCGCGGCGCCCTCCCCTGGCCGAGCCCCCCACTCACCCATCCCACACATGTCAGACAAGAGCAAGCTCCAGATGAGCATGGACCGCTTCTTCCGCCGGATGCCGCTCGACAGGCCCGTGGTGCGCAACAACTACAGCTTCCAGCTCGTCGCCGAGCCGTCGATGCGCCGGCCGCCGCCCGCGCCCGGGTCGCTACTCGACGTCGACCCGGACGAGCTCGCGTGGGCGGTGACGATGAACGGGGACGAGGAGAACGCGGAGTACGAGCGCGCGAGGCACATCAGCGACCAGTGCGGCGACGCCCAACCAGACTCAGGATCCCGCGAGACGCAGGCGCAGGCGCACGGGGAGACGGGGTCGATGTTCAAGCTGGCGACGGTGGGGTGCGCGGTGACGCCTGCGACGCTGCGGCTGAGGACGGAGCGGCAGACGTTGCGGCGGCTGCCGCGCACAGGGGCGATCGTGTTCACGATCCGGGTGTACCAGACGCGGCTGGACGAGCTTGCGAGCGAGCCTGGGGTGCCTGGGCGGGCTGCGAGTGCGATCCGGAGCTGGCCTGAGGACGTTGCGCGGTGGGTAGACGATTGACGCTATTCGAGCTCGACGAGTGCTGAACGGACGGGCTGTGCAGGTACAAGGCTCGCGGGGCGTACGAGGGTATCTTGCCGTACCTGGACCAGTGCCACGCTGAGCAAGTAGCGAAGGGGATCGTCGGTGAGGAAGACAGGAAGGCGGACTACCCGTTCTAATGCGGGGTAGAGTCTGCGTGAATATCTGAACTCTGGGGCTTACGGCAAACCTACGCTGTATTCTCTCGTAGACGTGTAGCGGTAGCCCTCCTTGGCGATATATCGACACAAGATAGAGGCCACATGGCATGCCGCGCGACGATCGGTGGTGGCAGAGGCTAAACTCTGGAGACACGCAGCGGGGCAGGATGACGTCTGATTCGCTGGGAAGGGAGGACGATTCCCCGACACGCGCTGCATGCGGCCCAGTTTGGGCGGGGGTGTGCTTCGATTCTCCCAGATGCCTGGACGTTGAGAAGAATATAAGCCAGCGAGCAGACGAGCATCCGACTCCTGTTTCCCCGCCGCCGCTTCTGCCTGCTTCCCTCCTTCCGACCTGCAGCTGCCGAGGTGTGAGTAGTACGCTGCAGACACGGCCGATCACTGACGTCGGTGGCACCGAGCGTCGACGACGAGCGAGCAGGCGAGATCGCCACTGATCACAACGGCAACGGTCATGGCTGCCATATCCGGAGCAAGAGCGGTGCACGGGCGGCAGACAACGGTCAGCCAGACGGACGCGGAGCAGCCTCGGGGCACACGGCACGGGATGGACACACGGCAGCGTGCTCGCTCTCAGACACGGCCTAGTCCCTCCTCCGCTGGCCGCCTATATGCGAGCTCGACGACTCCCCGGTCTACACCCACGACGACCATGCCCAAGCCCACTCTCATCCAGTCTATTCTCAACAGACCCTCCCAGACCTACCACCATCCCGCCGAGCGCGACTACTACTCCGAACGCAGAGAGCTCTTCCGCCTCGCACACGCCACCGCGAGAGCCATCCCCGGCCAGTTCGAAGATTCCGGCCTTGACACGTCCACCCCTGGCAACTCCGACACAGAGACCTATCACTCATCGGCCACCACCCTCGACCGCTCCTCCCAGCGGCCCTCGTCCCAGTCCCGCACCTTGACCAATGGCTCCAATACCGAGCTCTCCCAGCCTCAGTCCCGGCGGACATCGCAGGTGAGTACGCTGCTCGCGTCCTCGGTTATATTTGGCCGCATGGGCTTATCAGCGTACCACGGGGAACCAGCGCAAGCGCACTCCGATCCACTCTATCGCATCATCATCTTCCTTCGTGTCATTCAAGCCTGCCGGCGACGACGGCTCCCACACCCGCATATCTTCCCTAAACACCCCTTCCTATCGCTCCCAGTCCAGCAGCAGGAACCCCTCCAGCAAGGGAAACGATGGAGATATAGAGGAGAGCAGCGACGACGACGGCGACGATAGGACAGACATATTCTACACCCCCCGCACCTCCCTCGCCTCCTCTGCCCGCGTGTCCAAAGCGTCCGTCATGCTCGAGCCTCAGGCACTTGCGTCCGCTCTCCTCCCGCTGCACTCCAAATCCAACACCGTTCCCGCGCCTAACTCTCACGATGACGACACTCCCCCGGTATCGAGAACCCCGTCAGGCTCATCCTTGTCGTCTGTAGCATCATCCGCAAGTGTCGCAGACGACGCCTCGCCGTCACTCTTCTCCGAACCTTCGCAGACACCGAGCACTCTGCTTGCCACCTCAGTCGGCTCAGAGCGCGGTGCACGGCAGACCACAGACTATTTCGAGTCCAGCTCGCGCCCACGCACGCTCTCCGCTGGAGCAAAATCCGCCGGCTCGTCCACGTCCGCTCGCTCGGGCGCAAGCACCATCCGGAGACAACAGCCGACCCAGCAGCAGCAGCAAAACCGACAGGCCCGCGCAGACGGCGGCAAGCTGACGTACACGGACGAGGACTGGGCGGAGGACGTCCGGTGGCTCGCGCCGCCCAAGATGCCCGCGGCGGCGGAGGGCCGCCGACGCGAGCGTGCGCTGCCCCCGGACTTCCCGCTCCAGACACTGGAGAACGACCTCCCCGGCCGCGTGAGGACGCCCGGAAACCCGCGCGGGAAGGGGGACAGGAGGAGCAAACGCTCGCGCAACTCGCGCGGGCGGATGTCTGCGCTCTGGGAGGAGGACGAGAGCGAGGGGGGCAGCACGGACGTCACGAGCTCGGAGCCGAGCCGCTCGACTACGCCCATCCCCGAGACACCCCCGCACTCTATACCGTCTTCCCCGTTGGCGAAGGTGACGACGCTGCCGCTGACCGCGGAGCCGCAGGAGGAGAACACGCCCTCGGAGTCCACGCATTCGGAGAGCACTCCGGACGTGCGGTTGGAGAAGTATGCCCGAGGGCAGCGACGCACGTATTCGACGACGTCGTCTCTCTTTCGTCCCAATGGCTCGGCTATTGCGGATTTGCCCACCCATCCCATGCCGAATCCCGTCCCATCGACCGCGGGAACCTCGTCGGTGAACGGATACACGGGCCTTACCCTTCCCCACGCCGGCTACTCGAACGCCAAAGGCAAGGCAGCCACAGAAGGCCACGTCGACCTCGTCCGCGCGGGCGTCGCCCAGTCCAGCATGGCCACGATCGAGGTCATCCGCGGGGTCGCCTCCACGGTCTCCCACGGCTCCCCCATCTCCATCTCGACGACGAGCTCCCCGTCCTCCTTCAAACGCCGCGCGACGCTCTCTTTCTCCCTCCCCCGCTCGTTCTCGTTCAACCTCAAGGGCAAGAAGCGCGAGAGCGCGACCCCCGCGCACTTGCGAGGGGGGCTGCCACTCCCCGTGGCGTTCACGGCCCATGTCGCGCCGCCGTCGTTCGTGCCCGAGTCGCACGTGCTTGTGCAGGTCCATGCGGTTGGGCTGGACACCCTCGACTCGCTCATCGTGCACGACAAGGCGGGCATGAACGGTCACGGGGGCGGTCTGTCTGGAGGGGGAAAGGGCATCGGGGGCGGCAAGGCGGGGTTCATCCCCGGGAGGAGCTTCGCGGGGAAGGTCATAGAGTGCGGCTGGGCGGTCAGGGAGGAGGTGTGCAAGAGGGGCGAGTGGGTGGTGGGGCTGCTGGACGTGAAGAAGGTACGTTACTCGCTGTATATATCCCCAGACCGTGGCGCTCGCCCCGAGTATGAACGCGGATGGATCGTGGAGGGATCGACGACATGGAACTGACCCCGTTCATTTTTGCACCCGCAGTGCGGCGCGCTCGCAGAGTTCATCCTCGTCGAGCGACATCGTGTGTGCCGCGCGCCGCAACCCCGCCCGCGCACGCCTGCGCTCTTCCCCCCGCCACGCCGCCGGCACCTCCGGAGCACCTCGCTGCCCGTCGACGGGCAGGCGTACGCGCCCTCGCCCCTCGCGCCCCCTGCGCTGACCGTCGAGGAGCTCGCGCTGCTCCCGCTGTGCGGGGTCCCGGCGCACCGCGCTATCCGCACGTTTGCGGACGTCCTCGCCCCGGCGCTGCACAGCAAGTCCGCCGATCCGTCGAGCAGGTCGGACAAGCGCGCGTTGATCCTGCAAGGGCACGACGGAGCGGGCGCGCTCGCGGCGCAGATGCTCGGCCAGCGCGGCGTCCGCATCGCGGTGCAGATCCCCGAGTCCGCGATGCTCGACGACGAGCCGCTGCCGGAGGCGCCAGCGCAGAACGGAAATGGGAACGGGAACGGGCGCAAGCTCTCGCTCGACGTCGTCCGCACGTCGCCGTCAAAAGCGGCGGACAAGGGCAAGGGCAAGGAGGGCCAGAAGCCGAGGCTGAGCAAGCAGCAGCGGACGGAGGCGCGCCTGCGCGCGTGGGGCGTCGAGGACATCTTCGTCGGGGAGCCGCTCGACGTCCTCCGGCAGCTCGCGGAGGACGGCCAGTCGTTCGACATGGTCCTCGACACCGTCGGCGGCGTCGCTGTCTGGGAGTCGTCGCAGAAGCTGCTCACGATGGACTGGACCGCCGCCGCCTCGCGCTCGTCGCTCTCCCTTGGGCGCGGGGACTCGCGCAACGCCTCGCTCGACGTCGACCTGGGCGCGGACCCCGCGGCGATGAAGTCTAACGTAGAGCAGTCCGCGAAGCTCTCCCGGAGCAAGAGCAAGAGCAAGAGCGTCATCACCCACGCGCAGTTCACGACCCTCGTCGGCGACACGCCCCACCGCCCGATCCCGACCGCGCAGGACAACCTCCGGGGCGGCCTCCGCTCGCTCCGCCGCTCGACGTCGACGACGGCCAAGCCCTCGCCCGCCGTGCTCACCCGCGGGGCGCACAAGCGCGAGAAGCGCGTCGTCGGGTACGCGTGGGTGAGCGTCGCGGCGGACGTGGACATGGAGGGCGAGGACGTGCGCGACTCGCTGGGCGCCGTCGTGCGCATGGCCGAGAGCGGGTGGCTGCGGCCGCCGTGCGTGAACGCGGAGGGCGAGGAGGAGGAGGCGGGCAAGGTCGTGCCGTTCGAGAAGGCCGCGGAGGTGTTCAGGCGGGGGATCGTCGGCCCGCTGGGCGTGTTGGCGGACGGCGGGACGTGCGCTGTCCGCATCGTCGGGTAGCCCTCGAGGGAGAGGCGGTTCGAGGCTGGGCGTGGTCCTCTGGCTGGGCTGCGTACGGTGCTCTGTTCGGTTAGTTTTATTTCCTCTCTTATCGTGCGCTTCGCGTTCTCTGCGGTGGACTCTGCTGCTCGATCGTTCATTGATATAGGGACGGTGCTTGTGTATCCCGTACTACGTAGAATTGATCACTGTCTTTTTCAAAAGAATCTCCTATATCCAGGTCGTTGTGTATTTTGCTACATTTGTAATTTCCGGGCCATCCTCTCATAGATACCTTCATACGCATTCACGCATCCCCGAGTACCTGATAGCAAAGATGTTGTACAATTCTGCCTCCTCAATTTGTGTCTACAGTCAACCCGATGACAGAACCATGCTCTTACATTGCAAGAATAATGACAACGGAAGAACTACATCATATACCGCGGAGCACATGCTGTCCCACTCCAGAGTGACAGACGGAAGGCCTAAAAGAACTGCTTGAAGTCATACGCAGCCTCGCCATCCTTTGGCGACGACGCGGCACTCTTCTTGGACGATGCAGCGTTCGCAACCTTCTTCGCAGGCGCGGCGTTCGTCGCAGCAGCCTTCACGGCCTTTTTGGCAGCCTTGGGTTCGAGCTTAGGCTTTCTCGCTTTCAACTGTGCCTTAGAGGCAGCAGTGACAGCACCCTTCGCACCGGCAGCAGATCGAGCCTGCTTTGTGTTTTTAGGCTCTACCGCGAACGCGACCCTTTTGGCGGGACGAGCGGGGGCCTTCGACAGGATTCGTTTCCGCTTGCCGCGGGGAGGCGGAGACTCGAGCTCGTCTACACCTTCGTCCTCGTCCTCTTCGTCTTCATCGTCCTCTTCGTCGCTGTCCTCTACCTCGTCGCTGACGTAGTCACCCTCGTCGCTCTCCTCACCTTCAAGCCCGACCTCGTCCGCGTCGTCGACCGCGCCGCCGTCCTCCTCGTCGCCGTCCATACCGTCGTCCGACGACGAGACGAAGTATCCCGCGTCAAGCACGACCCGGCGCGTGTCGACCTCGCCAGCGCGGAGCTTGACGAGTCCGCCAGCCTTGCGTAGCTCTTTGCGGGTGGCGAGCTTGGAGAGGACGGACTCGTCTTTGGCGTAGGCGTCCTCGAGGGACTTCTCGGCTTGTGGCGCAGAGTCGGGCGATTGCGCAGCGGAAGGGACGGTGTAGCGGGCGAACTTGCCATGACTCCAGTCGCGGAGCACTGTGCGGGCTGCGCCCGCGAGGTCAAGGTTGCCCTTCTGTTGAGCAGAACAGTGTCTCAGCTTTGAGGTGAGATGAGCTTAGGAGGCACGACGAACCTTCTTGATGTAGTTATTTGCACGAGCAACGCTGGCGAGAAACGCGTTGGCGTCTCCCTCGACGAAGATGGGCAGGTTATACAGGAGCATGAGGTCCTCCCTGCTGGAGCGGGAGACAAGCTCCGACACTGAGATCGTTGTCAATACAGACAGCCTACGGTCGCACAGCGTGGGAGGACTCACTAACTGCGTAGGGATCCTTCAGCCTCTCGATATGACCTCTGTTCCGTAGGAGAATGTCGCGGGCACGTATCCGAGCCGCCTCCTCGTCAGGCAAATCCTCCACATGATGCCACAGAAGCCCAGGAGTGTCGATGACACGAAGCGACTCCCCATCCTCGAGGTCGATGCTGACTTCCTGGGGATGTGTCGTAGTCGTAGGAGAGAAGTCCGTCGCGGACGACGTGAGCTTGTACGTCTGCAGCGCAGCCTTGCGCAAGAGCGAGTTGACGAACGCGGTCTTGCCGACGTTCGTCACGCCAACCACAGCAAGCGTGAGCGGTCCGTCGCCGGCTTTCTCCTTTGCCCATTGCTGGAGCAGAGCGGTGAGGGAGTCCAAGCCCCACGCGTCGTCTGCCCGCTCCCGCTCCTTGCCCTTCCCTTTCACCCTCGCGCTCCCGGCATCCGCAGGCGATACGGGCAGACACGCGGAGGACGACCTGAACAGCACAGTAGGATGTTCCCGCCTGAGTGTCGTAGCCCACGCCTCAACGGCCTCTCTTGGGCACGCGTCTGCAATAAAACAACGGCATCATGAATTGCAGGCCATATATACGTTCTCGAAAGAATTGCACGCACCAACTTTGTTGAGCACCAGCAGCACCCTCTTCCCCAGATCCTTCGCGACCTCCTCGACATGCGCGCTCCTGGCCGCCAGCGGGTCCCGCGCGTCCAGGACCTCGACGACCACGTCCGCGGCGTCAAGCACGACCTTGAGGTTCGGCAGGTCCGGGTTGATGAGCACCGGGACGTCGTCCCCCTCCCCCTCCTCCGCCATCTCCTCGTCCGCATCGCCCCCCTCCTCCGCCTCTGCCTCCAGAGCACGACGGCCAGCGATGGCCTTGACGCCGTCGAACGCAGCCTCATCGTCCTCGGCGTCCGAGCCGTCTGCCGCCTGCGCCTTGGCGGCCTTCTTCTCGTCCTTGCGCCTCTGCTTCTCCTCCGCAGCCTGGCCCCTCCTGTCCGTCAGTGCCTGACATCTGCCATAAAACCAGAGAAAGTGAACGCACCAAACGACGCTGCTCCGCAACTTCGGCAAGGATCTGGTCCTTGTACGGGAAGTTGTTCGGGATGCCAGGGTCCTTCTTGTGCTCTACGCGCACATACGCACGTACGCACGCTCATCAGTATACACATCTAACCCAGCGTCCAGAGAGACACGCACTGCTCTTCCACTGCGGGTTCTTCTTGGCCTCCTTGGTCTTCTTCTTCCTCGACTCCTTGACCTGCTTCTTTACCCTCTCCCGCTTGGCGATCGACTGCCGCTTGCTCGTCTCTGCGTCGCATATCTCTCAGCCCACGTAGCAGCAAAAATATACACGTGCGTGCTCACTTTTGCGTATCCGAGGCATGGTTACAGTGCAAGGGAGAGAAGCTGAGGCGTGCGCTCGTGGGCCGCACAACTTTTCCCAGATTTCTCAAAATGGCAGACGTTGGAGCGCTGAAGAAGTCGGGCGCCTGCTCTTCCATACTAGGCCAGAACGTCCGCAGCATCGGCGAACGTAGGTCTTCGGAGAATATGCGTCATGTACAACGAAGGTGCAACAAGCCTTTGGGCATTTTCCTGCGGCTAGGCGAGATCCTTCGCTATCTTACCGTACGTCAATGTCTAATGTCCATCATGAAAGCCTGTCAAAGGCGATATAAGAAGCATACTGTATCATGCACGTGCTACAGAGTACTCGTAAATGGATATTAATGTACTTCGGGTTGACGTCTCATGCCCTGGCCAAAGCAACGCCATAAGCACCAACGTCGACATCTTTCTTCGCCTGTGCTCCCTTCCTTGAGCGCACGGCAGTAGAAGCTCTTCGCACACCAAAGACGAGCGCTGCTGGGGACACACCCTAAGATGTACAACAACATGTACAACGACCGCGGTGACAAGTATGTATGTAAACAACCTACGCCGCTAGCAAGTCACAACTAATGATGATGATGAGCGACCGAGTCCAAGTCTGTAAATGCACAACGGCCACGCGTGGGAGGAACGACTGACGATGCACGACGCGGTATACGCGACGTCGACAGGGATACTCCGACGTGTATGCGGACCGTCGACGTCGCCAACCACTGATCAGCCACACACCACGCCGCCTAAATACAGCTCGACGTGCCATATCTCGTCAATGTCAGTCGGCTCCTCGCACGGAGGCCAGCCTGAAGCGGAGTAGTAACACAGGGAGGAGAGGAACGGAACAGCCTAATAGCCATAACCCCTGCCTCCACCGCCGACCATCGCGACCGCGCTCTTGCTGGGTGGTGGGAGACTGACGTTCACGCTGACTGGTGCACCGTTCACACCGGACCCGACGCCCACTCCAGCATTGACGGACATGCTTGCGCCGGCACCAGACACTGGGAGGGGAACTGGCTGCCCGACCGACGCGGCACCGACAAGAGCCGAAAGACGAGCGATCTCCTCTCGAGAAGCAACAAGGGCAGAAGTGAGCCGCTCGTTCTCGTTCGTGAGGTACTCGACTTTGGCCTGGAGTTGTGCAAGCCATGCCTTCTTCCGCTGCCGGCATTTGAGGGCAGCTGAGAGTGAAGAGAAGAAAAGTGTGAGCAACTACGATGTGATACGAAATTTGCAGGATCGAAGATGTACCTTGTCGATTTCGCTCGAGGAAATTTCTCCGCTTCTCCTCTTCGGTCTCAGGCTTTTTGTGCTGGTTTCCACCGCCCTTCTTGCCGTTGGATGTGGGAGTCGGCATGGAGGCTTCATCTTCTTCCTCCTCTTCTTCTTCTCCCATACTATCCTCCGACCTCGCGCGCTTTCCACGTCCATTGGTACTCGTGCTCGCGGTAGTGCTCGAGCGTGTCCGCTTCGAGGGAGCCTTTGCCGCTGCTGACTGCGACGCGAGTTCGGGACTCTCCGCAGTTGGTGAACCCTCGTAGGTACTCTTCCTCTTGGTACCCCGTTTCCCGTTCGCCGCGGGGACACCATTGCCGTTCGTCTGCGCGCTAGCTGCGGCGGCTTTCTCCTGCTGCTCTCGCTTGGTGAGCTCTTGATGAGCTTGAGATAGTAGAAAGAGGCCGTTGGTCGAGGAGGCCGCAGCCTCGGCAGCAGATGTGACGTAAGAGCCGTTGGTGGGCTGATTGTCCCCGCGTGTTTGACCTGAGTATCCAGCGGTATGTGACACGGAAAGGGGGGAGGGGTTCGTCGGTGACGTGGTGTGATGAGGTGTGCTCGTGGGTAGGGCTCCGGTTATAGCGGAGAGGGTGTTGGGGGTGATTGTCGCGACGTTAGAGAGGGAAGGCGCACCATTCGTACTCATAAGGTTGAGCCACGCCGCGGTGCCAGGCGACGGGGGAGGGAATACAGAGCCGATGATGGGTGTGAGGCCTGTCCCGGGAGTGAGACCAGTGCGAGGAGTGAGGCCGGTACGGAACGAGGTCGGGTCGAAGCTCGGGAGCGGGGCATCGTTATGGCTGTTCGGCTGAGGCCCAGCGAGCATGGCCGGGGACAGGGGCCCCGAGCGAAGCGAGTTAGAGAGACCTGCGGAAGAGAAGCCCCAAGCATAGGAGGAGTCGGAAGGAGAGCTGATGGCGTCTATGGGAGGTAGGGTGGGTTTTGCGCTGTCGTCGCGGTCGTGAGCTTTTGAGGCTGGGCGGGAGTCATCGTGGGAAGAGTGAGATTGAGAGGAGCGGCTGTGGGAGTCAGGGCTCTTCTGCTGAGTGCGGAGGGAGGAGTCGTTGGTAGGACGGGCGAAGGACTGCTCGAAGGGATTGGGCTCGAGATCAAAGTTGCTTCGCTTTGGATTTGGGGGCGGGCGCTGTTGGTGCTGGGCGTGGTGTGGTTCGCGGGGGTGGGAGGGGGGAGAGGAGGGGTCGGGGTTGTGTTGGGCGAGATTGTCGTTGGAGGAGGAGGAGGAGGATATGTTGTTGTTGTTGTTGTGGGGGGTGCTGGCAAGGACTGGAGAGGCCATGACGTTCGCCTGCTGAGGAGGAAGCTGCTCGGGAGAGGATGACGACGAGAGCAGAGTTGCCTCAAGTCACCGATTCCCCCTGATCCCAATGACGAACGCTGACGTCGTTATGTACACCACCCCATCAGCGGAGTCCAAACCCTCTTCCACCCGCGCCCCTTGTCACCCCTACCTTCCGGGGTCCTCCCGCCCGAAACAACGTCTGGGTGGGCAAGGTTCCGTCGCCCCTCTCTCAGCCCTAGCCCCGCCCTCTCCTCGTCCCCCCCGGTATACAAAGCCCTCCCTCGCCTTCCCGCATAGCCCGCAGACCGCTCCCGCCCTCGGGCCCAACGTCCGTCCGCTTCGCCCGTGTCCAACTTTTCATGTCATCCCTCTCCCAAATGCTCTTCGCTCTGATGTGAACAGTCATTTTTTTGACTCTCGGTCCAACTTCTCCCCGCCCGCCCTCTCGCGTGATCGAGTCTAGCCCGGTCTCCCTTTCATCCCTTTGCTACCGTCCCACGGCTCGGTCGAATGTGTGCAGACCATCTCGGCATTCTCCCCTCCTAACACACCCAGCCAATCGTCCATCCTCGCATCTTTTCCGTGAGCCCGTGTGTCTTCGTGGCTTCGCGCTTTCTGCGCTGAGCCACATTCGTTCTAATTCGAACTTTCTCCCCTGCCGCGAGGCAAGCCACGATATGCCACTCTCCATCGATCCTCCTTTGTTGATCCGCTACCGCAACGTTCTCCAGTCCGCGTGACCCTCCCCGCTCCGTCTCTCCGTGTCTGCATACAGCATACATGGAATAGCCGTTAGCCTACCCTTCCATACTCGAGCCCTACGTTCCTACTTACATCGTTGGCCTAGAGCGCTAGGCCTTATCTCAAAGCCATGTCTTGCCTGCGTTCCCACCATCATGCATATGATCCAGCCCACCCGCGACGCGTTTTCTGACATAGATTCCGAGCGCCTCTCCGCTCTGGTCTTTCTCAGGGCCTGTTACAGACAATACCCTCCCATGCTCTTGCGCATCACCACGTTTTTGAGGTTGAACGGCATGCTCTTCCCGGTGCCCATAGCTCGACGCCAATCTGCCATAAGTATCGCCGCCGTCCATCCTTTTTCTGGCGCCTCCAGCAAGCTTAACCACACTCTCATCATAACGTGTCTCTGTACGTCAACGATCTGCTCTTCCACGCGCGCTTCATGCAGATTTGACTACACCCGCGTCATCGCGGCACTCACGGTGCTGCTCACCGCCGCGCTGCTCTGTACCGCGCTTGCGCCAGCATTTGTATATGCAGGTACGGCTAAGAGACACGTCGAAAATGCAGACTGCGCACCCTCTTCGTGCAACGCAGCCTTCCGGATGCGCGCGCAAGCTCTAGAGCCCGCGCACATATTGGACGCGATCGGCTGGCCTCGCCGTGCGAAGCCCCCCTGTCATTGGCTGCTGAGCTATTACACCGCAGGGTTTGGGATGGCGGCTTCCTGTTCCTGAACTTCCTACAGGCCGAGCTCCCGCTCTCTCTCCCAGCGGCACCGTCCCATGGTCCACGTCGTCGGTTGCAATCCGTTTACATTTACATCTCATCTCGCCAGATCTCTTGCGGCGGTGGCGACCATGGCAGTGGTCGGCGGCCTGTGTCGATCCAGGCGTGCACGGCATGCGAGGGGAGCGGGAGCGGCCTGCATGAGGGCAATAGCAGGCGCGTTCTATCCCCCTCCGAGAAGCTCGAGCATGCGCGTGCACGCGAACGTCCTCGTTCCGACCCAGGGCCCCAGTGGCTCGTAGCATGGCCTGGCCAAGTGGGGCTCGAGTCGCGTTCTTCTTCCCTTTCCGGAGTGTGTCGCCTCCGACCTCGCCGAGCGTGCTCTGATGTCCTAGACTCGATACTGTGCATTGAATATGCGGAGGTCCCGGTTGACCTCGTGGCTGGACACGATGTCCCGGGTACATACAGCATGATCTTAGATATACAGCGGCGCACCCGCTGGTCATGACCCGCAAGCTGCGTCGTCGCGCACGATACCGCTCGCGACGCAACTTCCCAATCGACGCTCTGATCCACCCGAGCTATGTAGTCTTGCAGCTTGCGCCTCTTTCAGCGAGCCATTACGCCCTAGGCGTCCACGTGTCAAGGTATCTTCCGCGGAGAACACCCACCGGGCCCACGCGCGAGAGATACTCAGTGACGAGATACCTATTCGATACTATCGTCTTCCAAATCGAACATCCACCTTTCTCCGCGGCGCGAAGCACACGTGCGCTCTCCAATCGTGCCGAAGCACGTCACCTCCACCTTACTTGACCACTCTTTTCTTCCATGTCAGGAAGCGTCTCGTAGCCTGTGCGCTGGACCCGGCGCCCGACGCCCAGCTGGTAACTTAGCTGCAGAGTGGTACCGCGCGCATAAGCTCACATTGCTGGCGGATGATCTATTGACGACTTGCGATCCATGTCTCTCGACGCCGTGCCAAAACCAAAACCGCCGCAGTGCCTGTGGCCGACGCCGCGCTCAATTCCGAGCCCGCGCTTGGCGGGATGATTTCTCGGAGCAGCGGAGCGCCCGTTTGCTCGGAGCTCCCGCAGCCTGCCGTCCGACCCAGCAAGTCATCCTTACACAAATCCTCCGTTGGAGTTCGCAAATGGACGTCGAGGCATGCAACGCTACGGCCTTGCGCCGTGGTCTTGGGCAAACCCCTTTCCCTTCCCTGCAACACCATGTTCTTTGTGTCGCCCGACAGGCCCGCTCGAGCTTGTGCAATCTGAGCATCGCGGAACGGCGCCGTCGTAAAATTATCGTTCTTGAACCCAGCAAGCAAATCGGTCTTCCCGTGTGACAGCCGCGCAGTTCTCGAGCGTGCCAGAACCGTTCGTCCGTGCTGCCGCCTTGGTGAGGAAGTCCCGGGACTAGACCGAGCTGCTCACGAGGCTGGAGAGTTTGGGATGCTCCACCTCCAAACGTGAGCGAACGTAGTCGGCGCGTCCTTTGTGGCAGTCGGAGGGTCGATTCCGTGTGCACTTTGTGTGCGCTCACTCAAAGTTATTCTCCGCTCGGCGCCTTCGAGGATCGAAGGTCTTCACGTCAACGGTGGAACTTTTGTAGCCGTAGAGGGCAGGCTTGGTGCGTATCTATCTCACCGTTCGATCGCCGTTGAACATCCTACAAAGCTCTCGCCCGGTCGAGTTGGCAACTAGTGCCGGCGGCGGGGAGTACATGGTAAACAGGGATTTGTGATACTGACGATCTCCGCCGCGGTGGCGGCGGCGTGGACATGCTTAGCAAAACAAGCCGTAAATTCGATGTATAACGAGCGCGATGCATTTTAAGTATACTCACGAGCATGCATTTGGTCGACGAGCTAAGTTCAGGAGCGTACGAGCAAAAGCGTGAAACTGCACATTCTTAGACCGTCGATAGATCAACTTGTCCCTCTGGATCATGCATCAACGCGTGAGATCGTCAGAAGCAGCCATGAATCAGGGTTGGGTGGATCTGCTGTCTAGGCGCAGGGCCTGTTTGGGATCAGGACAGATCGTCCGATCTGCATACTGTCCTCCTGCTCAGAATTTCCAGATACGCACGACGCTGTGAGATGGACTCCGATCTCGAAGATTAGCGACCAGCAAAGCCGCGAACACAGAATTACGAGCTTGACACGTCGTCCGATCTATTCTGTGTTGTCAAGAAAAGAGCGACACCCTTCGACGGGTCGCCGCTGAGGTGAGAGAAGGACGATGAAACTCATCGGAGCCAATACCGTCGGTATCTGTCGGTCGGTCGTCGCCAATGATCCTGGATAGACCAGTGAAGGGGCCAGTCGAGAAGGGATCTCGGTGGTGACAGCCCATAATTACTGGAGGACCTCGGTCGCGGCTCGACGCCGCTTCGCGCCTTCTCGGTTCCCTGTCCGTTAACCTATCCAGCGTGGCATTAGTGAATTGGCACGTTGCCGCCGAGCTGTATGCGCCGCCCTGAGACGTCTCATCCAATGCTATTTGGAGGCCAAGAGCTGAGTGATTCCCCGTCGACGATGGCGTCTTAGCCCCGGCGCGGTCCGGGTCTGGCCCCACAGTAGCATCATGGAGTTTCCTACCGATGCCACGACAAATCATGTTATGAGCCGTTAGAGGACGCAGAATGAATGGCCCAACGTACCCACGCGCTGTCCAAAGTAGGAATGGAAGGTTGCATGAAGGCTCGCTTCCATCCCGTGCATCTCGGTGCGTTTGGGCGATCTGACGTTTGACGGCTTATCAAGTCATACGCCCTCGGGACCTTGCGCTGGAGCATTGGTTTGTTGCAATAAACGAGACCTCTAGGACAGCTACCTTCTTCCCATCAGCTACGCTGTCAGGTAATGAGCGAGCCGTGACTTAGCAGCTCCCACAAGACGAGCATTACATCCAGACCGCTCTGAAAAATACTCCGCGCTTTGCAATTTGTCTATCTCGTGCACACGTTGACAAGGTGTAGAGCCGAACAGGCCAGCGGCCGCAGAGTTCCAGGGGCGCGTCTTTCGTGGATTCGCCGAGGTGCAGTGCAGGGATAGGTGGTCGAGGCATCGCGTTGTAGGAAGTGAGCCTTCAAATTGGTCTGGGTCACGGCTCTCCGGTGAGGGCGAGAGTCCCGACCGTAGCGCATGGCAGAAGAGATGGAGTGCGGACGGTGTTCGCGGTGCTGGTGTGAATTAACGCCAGTTTGTCACCGAAGTCCGCAATACTGCCGCTCAGGAGGCACAAGAGCACAGCTTCATAAGGTCAGGGGCCGACAGTCCGGTAGGACACTCTCAGAAGCTTACACTGCTTCCCGCGTCCAGAGTATCGAAACCAATAGGCGGTTTGGAGCAGATAGGCCAGACTCAGCTTAGAGGACATGTAGGGTAGAGATCTACAACGCACCTCATTACCTCGGAGATCGTGCCCTGGCCCTCAACCTCGACCTCGACCTCAATCTTGAGCTACACATCTACAACGGGAACCTAGTCTGAACCCTTTTCCAGAGATTGCTTTCTGATAATCCCAGATGTCGCAGAAGAATTGCACGAACGGTGACTCGACACGGGCCCTATCTACCATTCATGTCACACAGGACGTCTTGCCCGTAGGGTCGGACAAACCTAGCTCGAGGTCAGATCGGATGACCGAAAGATGGCGCGAAAATGTGCGGTATAGGTGGGGGACACAGTCGGAATGTAAGTCAGGCTAGCGCAGGACGAAAGGGCACTTTTTGAATCGGGCTATATGAGCACGGTGGAAATGAGGTGTACGCTCACCTCAAGGCATCGGTCTATTCATCGTGGAGCAAGTGATTGGCTGCCTTAAGACTAGGACGTACTCTGAAAAAAGAAGGACCTAGTAGTCTTAGCCAACTGGACATGTGACTACAGTGTCGCTGGACCCAGATACCGAGATACGCCGCCGCATGTCGCAAGAATGACTGACCCCTACGACCTGAACACCGGATCGCATGCTGCTATGTAGTGACTTGTGGCTCAGTGAGTGTGGTTGCTTGCCTTGCAGTGATTTCAAACCTACGGACCAGATTGCCCCTCTAGATGAGTGCCAACTCATGAAGTGGATCTGCATGGCATATAGGTCAGGCAAACCTGGTAACCAAGCGAGGACAATAACGATACATACCGCATTCCGGCCTGTACAAGCACCCTTTGCGAAGGACTGTACTCCTCCCATCCGCATACCACCTCGCACAAGCTCTCTCCGAGGATTGAGATACTTCACTTCGACATCCCGTCCCAGTCCCGCTGACGCACCTTCGGTTTAGACATCAAGATGACGGAGACCGTCACGCAAGAGAGGAGGTGGCATAGGCTATAGAGAGCATGATAAACCGTACAAGGGTCATACAGGGATGAGTAGGGTGATACGCGTAAACATAACAATCGTGAGGAAGTGCGACCCTGTTCGCATGCATGTGGTTAATACTGCCAGCCAAACCCCCACGCAGGACCGACTGCTCCGATTGCTCCTCCAGCTGCCGTTGCATGCCATCGACTGCACGTCGATTTTAGAAGCATGCTTAGACCTTGAAGCCACGCGACTTTCGGCGACCACGAGCACGCTCGAACTACACAACGAGTAAGACACAATATGATAATGACTGATTCAATGTACATACTTTGCGGCCCTTCGAGATAGTGTAAGGCTTCTTGTGCTTGTGCGGGCCCATGCCGAAGTGCTTGACAGCCTCGCGGGTGTTCCTCTTGCCGCGGAGCAAGATGGTGTTCGAGCCAGTAGGCGCACGGAGCGCGAGCTGGTCGAGAGTGAGGACCTCACCACCGGACTTCAGGATGCGCTCTTTGGCAGCAGTAGTGAAACGAAGGGCTGCAATCGAGAGCTTGGGAACCTCCAGAAGGCGGACATCGTCAGTGACAGTGCCCACGATCACGATGACCTTGGAGTCACGTTCGGGCGCATTCGCGGTCTCCTTGACGATGCGGGAAAGAGAAACGGGGGGACGGTTGATCTTCGAGAGGAAGAGACGGTGGAGGATCGTCTATTTGAGATATACGGATTAGTCCACACCACCCAAAGGACCTTGATAGCTGCGAATGACCTTGTTAAAGGCGGAGTCCGTGCGCCGAGCGAGGAAACGGTACAGCTACAGACGAAGGACTGAGTACTTTTCACTGGTGTACGAGGACTGAGTATGCACCTTGACCAGCAAGAGCAGGTAGGGATCCTCGCTCTTGGGGGCGGTACGGTTGCCCTTCTTGACGTGGTGCTTTTTGATGTCGATACCCTGGACGTATATACTGTATGAAGACGAACTTCGAGGACATCGAGCAGCATAACGAGCTCACCATCTTGCTCTTGCCGGAATTTGCGGTTCGGGGTCGTATGGGTAAGCAGGCTAGCGTCCGGCGGTGGCAAGCGGTGGCTGAGAACTGTACATGACCCAAGATTAAGATTGAGCGCTCGGGCGGACTCTGAATTTGACACGACCAGCCCACCAAACAAGGCCAAACCTCTTGCACAAGCCAACCATCATGGTGAGTATGCTCCCTCCGCTGCTTGCCACGTCGTGCCCGCTGCCTGCCTCAGCGTGCTCGTCCTAGGCTGTTTTGATTCGTGCTAACTGATTTGATGTCACTGCCTTGTTCTTCATCCAGTACTCCGACTCTGCTCCCGCCGCCGACCCTTACAACGAAGCGTACAGTACGGAGCCACCGCCGCCCACGGCCGGGCCTACCGCCGATTCGCGCGACCGAGACCTTCCTCCTGCGAGAGGGCGTTCCCGTTCTCGGAGTCCTCAACGGTCCTCGAGCTACCGCAAGTCGCCGCCTCCTCGCCGCCCGCCGCACGCGCCCATTGTTCGTCCTCTTCTATTTTTGCGTGTCTTCCTCGTGTTTACCCGGCGAAGCAGGCGCCCAATCCCTCCAACGTGTTGGGGGTCTTCGGATTGAGCATCCGCACTACCGAGCGTGATCTAGACGACGAGTTCAGCCGGTTTGGTCGCGTTGAAAAGGTGGTGATTGTGTACGACCAGAGGGTACGTCATCTTGTGTTCATCTCCGCCCAGCATGTATCTAATGTTCCTTAGCAGTCAGACCGTTCGCGTGGTTTTGGGTTCATCACTATGTCCACCACAGAAGAGGCCACCCGTTGTATCAAGGAGCTTAACGGTGTGGTACGTGCAACCCTATGTCTAGCTACCTTTGATCGGAAATAGCTGACGGATGATGTTAGGAACTGAATGGCCGACGTATTCGTGTTGACTATTCGGTCACTGATCGCCCACACGCCCCCACCCCCGGGGAGTACATGGGTCACAGACGTCGTCGAGGCCGCGACTCCTACTCTGGCCGGGATAATGATCGCTACGATGACAGAGACCGTCGTGACCGTGACCCGTACAGGAGCCGTTACGACCGCGACGAGCGGGACCGTGATCACTACGGCAGGGACAACAGGGATTGGCGTGATCGCCGCAGCCCACCTCCTCGGTCGCGCTACTCACCGGAGTATAGAAGGCGCAGGAGCTACTCGAGGAGCCCCCCGAGGGGCAGTAGCCCCACTCGCGCTCGGGATTATGACGCTCCGTCTTCCAGCGCTCTGCCTGCTAATGGCAACGGGGACTCTCGCTGGTGAAGCAACCGTGCGTCGACTGTCTCTACGTGTGCTCACTTGTGGCTATGCTTTGATTTCTTGGAACGAGCGGCCTACTGTGGAAGCCTGGGGCACAGAAGATAGTCAAGCAGAAGGGCGATGCGGTCTCGTACCCGCAAGTCTTACGTAACCTCAAGTTGTTCCTTTCCCCGTCTCTGGACTCCGTTCTCTCCTTCAATAGCACAAAAATCAACCTGTCAAGTTTGCTTTCCGTACCGCCCCAATGTCTTGTACCTTCCTACGACTACATGAAATATTTGCAAGCTCAAGACGTCTGGTAGTTGAAGGCGGAAGATGGGCATGTCAAGCGCCCGCCGTGAAAAGACCCAATGTTGCCGTATACGGATGAATGTTGCCGTCGCGCATCACCGTCGGTAAGGCTCGCCCTCAATCGAACTGCTGACACTTACGTAGCTTGCCATCGAGCGATAGCTGCCTGGTTATGGTACCGGCGCGGATCTCAGACCCATCGTCTTGAAGTTGCAACATTTGCCTTGCGGTTCATGTAGGCCCTCTCGGCCTTTCGCGGGTGTGGCGCTCGTTGGGTAGGCTACGTCTGGACAGGTGCGTATGATCACTGTACAATATCTGTTCGCTTGATGTACTGTAGGAACAACGCAATATGATGATGATGATCCCGTCCTTGTTGAATACATTTTGCGTGCTCCAGCACCAAAGGACGAACATCCGAACATCGTGAAGCCACACAATTCTCGGCTGAAGTACATAGTATGGACGTCGAGGCTTCGATGTGCTGGAAGGAATGATGCGCATATCTTCAGCCTTTGCGTCATTGGCTGCAGACCGAGCGGTTGGAACCTGAATACCAGAGATGGCTCCTGTGACGGTGCATGAGACCCTCTGCGACATCGACGCAGCACGCAGCCTGCAAACGATTGCATGGGTGGGGATCCAGGGGTGGCAATGTGGCGATACAGCCAATCCAGCCGTTGCTGCACCGTTGGCGCCACACTATACTCACCTGTGCCAAATTGACTGACATCAAAGCCGCCAGGACTGCGTAGTATGTCTGTAAGCAACCTACAAGTTGTTCTGACTACCAATACCGCACTGATCAATACCAAGACCACTCCTGAGGTTAGCTCACGTCCCCAAAATGTGATGTTGGTCCCTACGCGGACTGTTCATCCTCTCCGACCTGCTCCCCGACTCCTGGTCGTCACACCTCACTGTCCTTCTTGACTGCGCCACAAGCTCAGATTGTAGGTCCTCACTTCCCTACTGTCGTTTTGAGTATTATTGTCCCAACCCAATCTATAGGCTCGCTAACCCAGTGTATTATATTCATTCCGTCGTTCATTTGTAGTCAACTTTCGCTTTGCTGTATTCATACTTCATTTTCCTCTTGCCCCGTCCCTGCTCTCACACTGTCATGATAGATACATTGCTCTTCATTGGCACCCGTATTCTATCCAATACAGCTCTACATAGCAAGCAGTGAGCAGAGCTTTGCTAGAATCCATAGCCCGCTTCATGCGCGCTTATGGGGTTGTCACCCATAGTGATGGAGCCTTCCAGCCCAGCCTTCCCCGAATCCGAGACAAGAATCATAGCTTGCTGGAGGACCCGCCAAGAAGTGCCTCAAGTGCCTTCTCCCGATTCTCCGCTTCCTCCTTGATAACCCGCGAGAAGAACTTGAAGTTCGGCTTGTTGGCGTCAGCTGCGATTCGGTCCAGTCAATCACTTGTGGCGTGTCAAAAGTAGATATCGCTGATAGGAACGCACCCTGCAATTCGAACGCGGCACTCTCGCTCGTCGTGATCTGCGCGCCCGCCTGGCGCATGCGCGCGAGCGCGATCGGGACCTCCTCTGGGCGCGAGCTGGACACGCCGTCGGCGAGGATGTGCACGTCGTAGCCGAGCTGGAGGAAGTCGAAGGCGGACTGCAGGATGCAGATGTGGGACTAGCCATCAATCAATTCCAGAACGGTTCGTAGGTCAAGCCGCGGTCACAGGTACCACGCACGGGGGCGTCAGAGATATATCATCAATGATCAGCGTTTGGCTCGAGTGACGATCTGGCCGTCAGACCGTCGCAGTGCACTGACCTCGATCCCGAAGAGCACGATCGACTTGAAGTCGTGCTGCTTGAGCAGTGCAATGATAGGAGGTATCGCCATGGAGAACGCCGTCTTGTCGTACGCTCCGAGGTAGAGGCTCCCGAGCGGTGCGGTGTCGAGCTCAGGCACGGTGGACCCCAGTACTGTCTCCCAGAGAACGCGGCGGAACAAAAGGCAGCTGAGGTCAACTATATTCGTGTGCCAGGGCGCAGATGCAGAACGCACCACGGGGATTCTGTTCCGTAGCTATGACCGGGACATCCATAATCTGTGAGGAAGGGAAGACATTGGGATAGTAAGTGTCGAATGGACGGAGATACCGAGCATGGGCGATAGTAGCCTGAAGTACAACAACTCGTACATCCGGTTGTACACACCGTGCGCAGCCTCACAGAGACAAACCTTGGCTAGTTTGAGCATTTTGCCGCTCGTTGCGACGACATGATCGAAGCCGTGTATGAGCGTGCCTGTAAATTATCATTTCGATGGAAGGTTGCCGGAGACGTGAGATGGGAAGATGGGAACAGAGAAGCGGACCTACGGAAGCGTGTCTGTATATCGCAGACGAAGAAGACCGTGCGGCCTGGTATCAATCGTACCACCGCAGCCATGTGCGGTACGTCCGATGGTTGCCGGAGGCGGGGGGGTCACCTTGCAGACGGTGCTCGACTTCGAGTTGGAGAGCCTCGAGGCTCAAGCAGCGGCACAAGGCTGGTTTCTACGGCAATTATTCGGCTCGTCGCGCGAAGGCCGCACGCTAGCGTCGGTCGCGACGTACGTTTAGAAAACTGTCTACTCCAGTTAGTAGTATATCAGACTGTTATATTCGATGTGGACTACCTGGCCCTGTTTCACGTCTCCGCGTCGGACGGCAGGGGGACAGGGGCAACGTCGAGGGTCGAGTTATCGAGGACTAATGATGATGCCGTTGCCCGGGTCGCGAGCGTCGAGGTCTCCGGCGCCACGTGAAGTCCATTATGGGACGGGTCGGCAAAGACCGTAGCGGAGATGGGGGAGAAACAAAACGAACCACTGGGGCCCGCTGCGACCTCCGCTTTGCCTTGCCATCTCATCCTCCGCCGGATCCTACGGGCCCCCTCCTGGCTTGTGCCGTGGTCCTGTCCTTCCTTTGGTCTCCCACTCTCCGTCACGGAACTGTCTTTCATTTTTGTATATCAAGAAAAACCCCTACCATCATTATCATGGACCACGACTCTCACTATCAGGACGGCGTCGACGCCGAACGGTTGAGGGTATGTTGCCGTCCATTTCCAGCATATCCTCTGTACCCGCATCCCACAGTCTTGGCATCTCTTAACGGGACTGACTGCCCAGTCTCATTTACGAGAGCCTGCGCTTCAATTTCACCGCTTAGGCCGCTTGCACCTTCGTGTGATGCGCATGTACCTTTCTCTTCATCATGGAATCATGGGGGCAGCGGATGCGCTCTTCTAGCCTCGTCGTCGCAGAGTCACTGAGCTTACACTTCCCCTAGATGAACGCGTTCAGCTTTGGCAAACCAGTGTCGCCTTCGGGCGTGAATCCTTCAGCCCGCCATTCACGCTCACACTCCCGCAACAGCTCAGTTTCCGTACCTCTCTCCCTTCCCACACCTGTTTCCACATCATCTGTGCATGACTCGCCACCTCAGTCACCCACTCGTAACTCTATCAGCGGCGCAAAGCGCAACTCTCACCACCGTCGCCGCTCGTCGGTGTCGACTCGACGGGAGTCGGCTGATCTGATGGGCATTTCCCTCCCCAGCATTCCCATATCCAGCTCAGAGGATAACATCAACCTTGGGGACAAGGACTCGATCCGTCGGCGTGCTCTGTGGGCGTTGGAAGGCAAGGATGCAGGCGGGAATTTTTCGGTGGAGATCCCAGAGCTCGACGCACCTGAAGTTCCCAAGCGAAACTTTGAATTCCGTAAGTATCCCACAGCCGGCGACTACTTTTGTCTTGCTGAAAGATAGCAATAGCTACGAAGCCGTCCTTCCCTCCTGGCATAGGAGCTGGATTCAGTGGAGGACTCAACACCCTGATTAGCAACAAGCGCGATTCTGTCAAGTTCATGGCGTCTAGTCCTTCGAGCGAGATGCTCGGTACTCTCATTGAGGAGGAAGAGGAGGAGGAAGAAGAGGGCAAGGACATCACTTCCAGTCCAGCGAAAGATGTCTCCGTCCCGGTCACAGCGACGACGGCATCCCCTGCCCCCATCCGCCCTCGGCCGGCGAGTTTGAATTTGCGTCCCCTTTCGCTCGCCTTGAACACATCTATCCAGGCGGATATCCCCACGCCTACGCTGACGCCCAGTCCCCGTCCGGGCCTGAAGTCGTTGACTCTGACTTCCTCCCCGAGCTCGACGCTCAGCAGCAACGTTGCAATGAACAAGCGCCAATCCCTCATCATGTCCTCGTCACCGACGCATACCCAAGTCGCGGTCAACCGCCGCCCTTCGCTAAACCTCATGACGGAGAATAGTGTGACTGCATCGCCCCCTGCCCGCCGGAGCAGCATCTCGTACGTGTCTAATAGCGACGCTCAGACGGTGTCAGTATACGGCCTCCCTACGCCCGAGATGACCCCCACGTCGAGCACCCTCGACAGGCGCCGATCTACGTCCGTCTCCACCTCTGGAAGCATGGACCTGGGCAAACTTAACATGCAGCGTGGCCGCCCTCTGTCTATGAGCGAGCAGCATTTTTTATTCCAGGCGCACGAGACCCTCGTCCAGCGCATCACAGATCTAGAGCGCGCTCTCGCACGCTCGTCTAGGTCGCGCCCTGTCTCGTGCGCCTCGGATGTCTCTTGGGCGTCATCCTCTGCACCCTCTGAGCCGTCGGACGAATTGCTGCAGCTCATCGCTGACCTCAAGGCCGAGCGCGACGAGCTCAAGAAGGACGTCGATGGGTGGCGTACGCGCGTCGCCGACCTCCAACACCAGATTGATATCCACGCCAAGCGTCTCGAGGTCGAGCGCCGCGATGCCTGGGTCGCCAGACAGCGCGTTGGCCTCCTTGAGGTCGAAAAATCTGGCCTTGAGAGGTCCCTTGCGGACAAGACCACCCAGGCAGACGATGCGCTTGCGCGCTCCGAGGCCCTGAACCTCAGCCTGCAGTCCTCTCAGGATGAGGTAAAGACCCTCAAGGCTGAGGTTGAGCGCCTGCGGGACGTCGACGACGAATGCGCACGCCTTCGGGCTGAACTCCTCCAAGAGAGGAAGAAGCGCGAGGAGATGGAGCGCGACCTCGAGCATGCCGGCCTTCTTGATACCCCGCGGCCTTTCAACGCTGCCGCCAACGGTATCCCTATGTCCCGGACGATGGTGCACGCCAAGCGCGGCCTCGGCTTCCGCTCGATCGATTCGGAGAGCTCCTGTACGGACGTCGAGTCCGTCGATGACGATCATCAGCCCGCGCTCAAGGCTGTTCAGGAGGTCGACGAGGATGACGATGACACGACTAGTGACGACGAAGATGACGGGTTAGCCGGTTATGAGGACGAAGAGGATGGCGACGAGTACGCGTTCCCTACCTCCACGTCGTATGAGTCGGTCATGGAGTACTCTCGCGCCGCGACGCCCCGTCTCTCGACGGACTCCGCCGACTCGGCGCCTTCGCTGTGCACGAGTCCTTCGCCCTCCGTGTCACCCTCTCCCCTCCCGTCTCCCGCGGAGCCGACGCACGTTCAGGACCACGCGCGCCATAAGTCGCTGTCGAAGGCGTGGACGTTCCCGTCCGGCCCTGCTTCAGTCCCTGCTGCGCCCCGCCCTAGCGAAGACATCGATCGCTTCTTCGGGTGCCTAGAGGATGTAGATAACTCGCCTCCGCTCGACTCGAGGCTGCACTCTGTTGAGAGCAACAAGAGCCTATTCGCTCAGGCACTTGCCGAGTGCGACGACGACCTCCCTCCATTCGTCCTTCCCGCGGACGTCGGCGATGTCGTCCTTTCCCCTGAGGTCGAGTCGCCGCAGCGCTCGCTCGATATCGTCTTCGAGGAAGAGGAGGAGGAGGAGGAAGAAGAAGAAGAAGAGGGAGCCGTGCGAGAGGACGATAGCTATCAATCTGATGATGAGGAATTTGTGGGCGAAGTTGATGAGGGCGGGATCAAGTTCACCTTCAACCCGCCTCCTTCCTACGTCTTCGAGGGCGAAGCCGATACGAGCTCCTCGGACCTCTCCATGACCACCACGTCCTCGGCGTCCGAATCTGTCAACGACTCTTCAAGCTTCTTCGAGTTCGCTGACGAAAACGAGGATGACGCCAGCTTTACGCTGCCTCAGCTCAAGTCCCAGCGTAGCAGCCCCTCACCGTCTGCCATCCCTCGTCTGCGTTCTTCCTCACCGTCGATGATTCCTCTTCCTGTCTCTTCGCCTACGGTTCCAAAAGTTGCAGCGCCTGTCCCTCGTCGTGCGGTCCCGTCACCTACAGTGTTCTCCACGCCCCCGCTCAAGCGTTCCGCAACTGCCCCCACCTTCATTCCTCAGCCCCGCGGCTCGCCTTCCACACCGTCCAAGGTAGCGTCGATGATCCCGCAGCCCCAGCGCGCGTCCACCTCCCCGAAACCGAGTGCTATCCCTGTCATGACCTCCCCTGTGCCCAGTAGGCTCCCATACAGCACTTCTTTCTCGAGTATGTGTGTATCTAATCTCCCCGTGCGTTCTGCTGTTTACAGCCGGAGTGGCTTCTAGGTCACCCTCAGTCACGCCCCATCCCCCTTCCACGGCTCCGGATATGAAAACCTCGTATGCCTCCACTCGATCCCAGCCCGCTTCTCCGTCGTCGCCCGCTTCCTATTCCCCGTCGTTGATGTCGCCCACGCTCGCTGCACGGTTCTCGTTACAGACGCTCACGAACTTTATACCTGTCCCGTCGATGTTGTGGTCTCCCCGTTCGACTGACGCGGGCTCCGGGTCTAGCGGCTCTACTACGTCGAGCCCCGTTGGCCACACTCGTACCTCTTCAGCGTTTGTGAATGCGACTGTATCTGCTGCGAAGGAGCGGGCCTACGTTCCGAAGGAGAGGCAGCTTGAGAGGCTGAGGCTCCGCATGGAAGAGGAGAGAAAGAAAAGTCGCGCAACCGTCACTGGCCTCGGTGTTCAAGTTCAGAAGACGCAAGCAGGGTTGTTGGATATCTAAGTTATTGGGTATGTCGTACGATGCCTTCAATCCTGGCAGATGCTCATTCCGTCCTCAGCGCTCCGTCCCTTCCATACCGCCACGTATGCAGTCCACGCTGTTCCCCATGTCACGGACTTTACTTCGCTTTGTTTCGCTGCGTCCTATATCCCTCCTACCCCCCATGATGTCCCCTCTCACGGACTGAACGTCTGGCTTGTCTTCGCCTGACCTCGTTCCCCACCGTCCTCCATCTTGCATCCCATCGCACGGACATCTTTGTAAACTCACCTACACCTCATATATGGCGTAGATAAACCCTCATCATCCCTGTGCTTCTACCATCACGCTTGGGTTCAGTTCAGTTCACTGTCTCATACGTACGACCCCTCAGAGCCTGCGGCTCTTTTGCCCCCGTCTCTCTCGTCGCCGTCCCCAGTCTCTCCCATTCAGTGCGTACGGCCTTGATCGGTCGTTGCCTGTTTGGTCTGAGGGCGGGTGTACGCCGCGCGAGTTGCGGCTGGGCTATGTATTATTGCCTTCCTTATTGACTCGGTATTTTCCCGATCCCGACCCCACCCCCTCCTTGTTCCATATACACACATATGACGGCCAACTCGATGAAGTAGCTATAGGATGCAGCAGATACAGATCGCACACCTATCTGTCCATCCCCTAGAGCGAGGACCCAGCCACCTCTTCAGAGGTTTCGTCCAGTGGATCATTTGTGAATGTCCATTACGCTCTCTTGGTCGCTGCTGTCACCGCGCCACGCTGGTCCTGCGTATGGCTCAATTATGCTCCCTCCCACCTAACTTTGGTATGCCCTTACAGTTGTTGATGTTTTATGAGTAATTTCCTTGATTCGATCCTCTCGACGACTTCCGATGCTTTTGGCGGCGTGCGGGTGCGGGTCAGTAGTGTTTAACGCGGCAACGCGGCAGAACGATTATAACTGAGTCAATGCCCGCCCTGGAGAGCTGGTGAACGAGTCAAACAAACGTGTTGTCAATTGTCAATGGATGTTTGTTGAGCACAAGAGTTATTCCACAGAGATGGTAATATGATGTACACGAAGCAAAAACTACTAGCAAGAGAGCGATGCCATGTGGATAATGAGACTTATAATACACTGGAGATCCTAAGTAGCGGAAACCTATCAGATGATGGAAGTATCTAAGCTAGATGCTTCAAGTGAGTGGTGAGATGGCCAGAGGCAGCGGGATATGTACAGTCTATTTTTGACGGAAGGCTACGCTCAATTCGCTGTCGCAACAAGAAACGGGAGGGAAAGAACGGCAGAGAAGATGACAAGACGGTACGAGCAACGACGAACCCCAAGCAAAAGGCGACAGCAAGCACAACACACAGCACTCACTTCGTCCAGCGTTCGCCCTTTAGAAAGGCCCCGGCTGCCAACAGAGCGAGGGATCGACGACGCAGCGCCACGAGCAGATGCTGCGCCAAAGCCAATCAGTCTCAACGATAATCTCACGCAAATTTACTCTGACACGGAATGGACTCACCAGGAGACCTGCTTTTAGCCCTCCGCCTACCTCCATAGGAGCCGCAGCATTCTGGTCGAAGAACTCCGTGTCGCCCACGACCGGATAGTCAAGCTCAAAGGAAGACACGTCGCCGTCTGGGATTTCCTGACAGACGACGAGAGGGCGCTGTGGGGTGAGGGGGATGGGGGGATGATGCGTCAGGTTTCGTCGACAACAGGGCGGGGCAGGAGGGGAAGGCTCACAATGCGAACTGGCTCCGGCTCTTCAAGGATGGGGTCCAAGCCCGTCCTTGTCCTGTAGTCAACGGTTTGCTGCAGGGCGGAGAGCGGGTGCTGAACCGTCAGATCTGATATGATGAGACACTATCTGCTTGACGCACCATGAGGGCATCTTCGGCGCGTCGAGGAGCGCTCCTGGGGTACGGATGAAACCGACCGAGATGCGAGAACCGGTAGGCGGGAAGACGAGAAGGGTCGGAAGTTGGCAGCCCAGAAGAAGCCATGACCAGCGTGAAGGATGGGTATGGGAGATGAATAGGGCGCATATATTGAGTTCCGATTCTACAACAACACGAAACACCTCCAATGCGGGAATGATCTCGAGACTGGGGAATGAAGGAGTGAAGATAACGGAGACGAGAGGTAGAACTAGCGAGAGAGGAAGTGGGAGAAAATGGGGAAACGAGAGTTTGGGATGCGTCGGGCCAATAAGTAGGGGAGGAAACCGACCAAAGGAGACGGCGAACAATGCGAACGAAGCCACGACCCTGGATGCGCACCTCGCTATGGGTTGACTGATGCCCGCAACGACGCGGCGCGCTAGCGTCCGTAATCAACACCCCGCTATCTTGTCCTCGTGCTTCCCCACACGAAAGACTTCCGCCAACGTTCCTCCTCCGCCATCGGACCCGGTCTCTTCCATCTCTGGAGTTTGAAACAAGTCCTTAGTAGCCCTTTACTGTGGTGGTGCCGTCCCGGGAAATAGGTCAGCCGCTGGAGGGAAGGCTGCAAACGAGGGGCGGCCAAGGACGATGTTCTGCGGAATGGCATGTAACATACGTGTGTTCGACCGTGAATAGACTCAAAGTCCCTTCTTTCAGTAGTAGCCTATGGGCTCCAAAACCTGGCTCGAGGTTACTCCGCTGAAGAGATGGAGACTGTTCACACCCATCGTTTACTCGGGACACCCGACTTAGCCTTGGCAAGTATGAGATAGACCATACGTGATCCTCTCAGGCATTTTGTTGGCTCAAACAGACATCTGCATGCATTACAGCCTATATATCAGCCCGTGATCATCTGGCATCCCAAACTAAAGCCTGTTCAATGAATGATAGGCTGAACATATCGTCTACTTACATCCGGAAAGATACTGGTCACGTCAAGTGTGACACGTCACTGGGCGCTTATAGACAAGATGATCGAGATGGCGGTAAGTGATTGTTCGTACATACCAACCACCACCTCGAGAATCATGTCTCAAGAAGCTATGCGTGCCTGTCTGATCATGCCATCCAGTGCAACCTGTTGGCGTCAAGCTATGCGTGCAAATGCGCGAAGGAAGCCGACTATATGCTTGCAAAAGCAAGAGATCAAGACAGCGGAGTGCCCACCCAAAGAAAAGGCTGCGCATACAACCAACACAGACAGCGAACGAAATGACAACAGCGAATGGGAGCGACACAATATCGACATACGCACCTAAAATCGGAGTCACCATCACCATAGATGTCGTTGACACCTCTGCGGAAGCGGAAGCTGTCCCTCGCGGCAACGACAACCACGAATGTGAGCGTGAGCAGCGTGCACAATTAGTATTGATGTAACGTAGGACCCGTTCCGAGGGCAGAGAGATTGGTCGATCCTGCAAGGTCGGCCATTCTAGCTGGTCTTGACGGTGTCCACCTCGACGAAGCTGATGGCGGCCCAGCGAGACATTGTCGTTGAAGGCTTTCAGCTTCTGTTGTAGCTGTAGCAGCTCCGGACCCGAAGCAGGACGGAGCTTTGGGGACGAATTGAGCCGTAAATCCAGGAGATGTCGCCCAGTGTGCTCGACCGCCACAAATGTCAAGCCTTCGCAAAAAGCAAAGCAGCCATCCAGATCCGACTATGAAGAGGGCAAGCAAGGGCGTGACAAGAGACTGAAAGTCGTTGAGGAACGGAGGATAACAATCAGAGGCTGCGGCTCGATCGGGGTGGCCCCAATGCCAACTCCGCGCTTGCCTTGAGGCCCTCGCCGACGGTCCGATTCGATCCAATCCGCCCCTCCGGCAGCCACTTCTAGCAGCTACACCCGCCCTCACAGTGCTCCCCCTCATGGCCAAATTTTGCGCGACCTTACCACCTCGTACCTTGTTCAAGGTCGATGAGACTTGAGCGGTAGCCAGTCTCTACCTACGCCCCTCTCGGGGGAGTCCCGAAGGCTCCTGACCTCGCTGGACGATCTCTACGCACACACTTTGCCAACCAACCCGCTGAGATACCCCTTACTGCTCTACCTCAATTTTCTACCTGCGATCTCCTCGGGACCCTGCATCGGTCCGGTCCACGCTCTCTACAAGTTGTTCCTTCAACGGTCCCGACCTGCAGCAAAGCCAAGCAGGAACTGTCACGCTCATCCTGCATTTGCGTAGGCAGCTCAACCCTCGTGCTAGTTGTTCTACTCGTCATCATTACACTCAGCCAGCGCGGAGGATGCAGCAAGAGCAGCATGTTTCCGACTGTTGATCGACTGCAAAAGTCGCGGTGGATGGGAGATGAGAGAATCATTCAGGTAAGGTATTCCATTAGACCAATTTCTTGCTGCCTTCCTCGCTTCCCGGTTAGATTCTGTGGTACAGCCAACCAGTGTCGCCTCTTTATCTGCACAACTGGACTCCCAAAAACCCCAGCTGCCACAACTGACTGGCCATAACCACCGTTCCGACTGTGCCACCCGATCCCCTTGCTCCTCACCGATCCTCTCGCCCCCCGTCGCAATGCTATCTTGCACTCCGAAAAACGGGCTCCCTGTCAGTCGCATTTACCAGCGTCCTCTCGAGTTGGCCGGCACAACCAGAGCGCCTCCCCAATAGCAATTCTTACCTGTGCCTGTACTCTCGTCTTCCGCTTATATGCCTGTTGAAATGGGCATCAAATCACTGTTCATTCAGTCCTGCGGGAACTCGTTAGTTGTATCTGCAGCGGGCATCTCCTTCCCATGCTGCAATCTTCGCGCCGACGTACGTATCTCCTGCCCAGCGAGGCGCCACCTCACGAGTTCTTTTGAAGTACCGTTGTAGTGAATATGTCATGAATATATTTTATTGGTTATCAATCCGGTTTACTGCCTAAGGGAAGCACTCCGAGATCAAGCTATACACGAGAAAGGAAGAGGGGTAAGAGATCCAAGATGACTATGCTACATGGTTTTCGGACTACGTGCAAGGTGTGCTAAAGAAAACAGAGCACCTACATGGACATGGATAGCTAAAGGAAGACGCGACAGCAAAGAACGAAAGCAAGAAAAAGATCGAGCAGACATCTCTACAGCGAGCAGCCCTCCCGCAACTCGAGGTAGGGTGCAAACGATGTGCCGCTCGCTACTATCCCCACACCGAGCACGACACGTCTACTTGGGCCGCTCGACGCCGGACTTCACGGTGCCAAACAGAGTCCCCAGCGTCAGCTGCGAGCACCTACGGCAGAGCTCGCCGAGCAGATCCTGTCACACCATCATGCATCAGCTCCCCGCGTGCGCAAATCTCCAATCTAGAAGGACCCCAAAGACACTCACGGCCAGGGCCTCGGCGAGCTTGCTACGGCTCAGCCCTGTCGGCACGCCGCTGAAAGCGCGAAGCTCGTACTCGTCGTACTCGACCCCGACGACGGGAGGGTCGAGCTCGAAGCTGGAGACGTCGTTGTCCGGGACCTCGACACAGCGTCTAGCGGGGCGCTGCGACAACCACAACCACAACACAACATCCACTCAGCGCCAACCGCACTACACGGGAAAGAAACTCACAAGACACGGTTGTGCTGGCACGTTCGTCGAGGACCCTTCGGTGTACATGTACGCGTTCTAATGTGATGCTTCCATCAACGAACTCGAGCGAATCATCGGGACGACGCACCACGAAAATGTCACGGTCCTCCGAGCGACGAGAGCCTCCTCGAGGGTAGGGATGAAATCTCCCGAGGTGGGAGGAACGGTACGAAGGGAGACGGAGCGAGGGGTCGGCGGCGATCATGACCAATGTGAATGACGGGTATGGGGGGTCGACAAGCATCAGTAGTATGATATGCTAGTGGTCTGTCGCGCAAGGTACTCCTAGAGGACAGGCGCCACGCACCCCGACCAAAGCGAAGGGGAAGGCTACGTAGAGGGTGGGCAATCAGAAAGGCACGACGTTCTGAGAGCTAATGGAGGGTTATATAGACGGCGGCGATAGCAAAGAAGGACCCGCGACTGCGGCGAAAAAATTTGCGCGCCATACGCCGCCGTCTTCAAGGATGATTGAGGACGGCTGGCAGTGCAATGCGGCCAGAAGATGTCCTAGGCGAGTCCCTCGATACGCGCACTCCTCCATCTAGCCCTTGCTCTACCTCCCGAATTTGCTCTCCCGTGTCCTCGAACTCGGTCGCTCTCCCCGACGACAACATGCATGGCCTCACCGCCAATGATCGAGGCAGAGGAACCTCCGCGATGTTTCGCACCTTGTTGCCAGCCAATCGTACACATTGATTCCTGGGCATCGGAGTCGCCAGGCGAGTCCTACAATGAAATAATGCTGCGAATCAGAGCGATATACCAGCCGGAGTTTGCGAGCGATGGAAATGGCACGATGTCGTGAACAGCATCCTTGGAGAGGGATGACTTGCGGTCCACAGCATACGTAAGCATCCCAGGGCACACCTTAGACCAGAGTTCCCTTCTGGCCAGTTCTTGGACCTCGAGAGGGCCTGTCATTGAGTCTCTAGAAGTTGTCCGAATTTGTGACGCGTCAATCAAAGTACCGGAATATTGCCCTTTACTGCTCGCATTTCTCGTTCCAGACACTCTGCCCTGGTATTTCCCCGCAAGAGGGCGGTTACACGCTGTACCACCTAGTAATTATAGTGACGCTTTTGGCTACGAGGCCTAAGGGCCTTTCGAGACGCGTAGTCACTTAGGGAGCGTTGCGTTACGTGTCACATGTCACGGAGAAAGACGAGCGCAGTACTAGTGACCAGACTGTGAGTCCTTGCGCATGTCTTCTATTCATACACAGAGTATCAACTCTTCGCATGCTATGTGCAACAGGGAAGACTTTCAACCGTCATTGTATGTGCGCAGCAGACTCGTGGAGCCTGACCGTGGTGAACGCTCAGCGCTCCCCGAGGCCGACGAGGCCACAAATGCAGGAATACCTAGCCAAAGTGCTGGCATCGGTGTGTTGCGACATGACCATGTCGTAGCGGCATGTTGAAGCGAAAGAATGCAATGACCAAAAAGAGAGAAAAAAAGAAGCTCACCGGGATTCCTCATGGTAGAGCAGTCCGACAGATGTCCACGTCCCCTATTCGGAACTAAGGCTTTGAGGTGACAATGTGTGACCAAAAGTTGAGTACATAGTGCATCGACTGCCTTTGAACATATTTGATGATCAGCGCGAGAGAGCAGTGCCCTGATTTGGTGAAACGCAACCAACGGGTAGTCATGATCTCACCGACAATATGGCCTCCCTACCACCCATATCACCCACACCATCTGCGCAAGCCAGATGTTCACAGCCGCAGCAGAGCGGGAGGTGAGGGGTGTGCAATCCAGACAATTCAGGGTTCTCCGCCGAATTTTTGGGCCGTTACTTCATGCCGCTTGCCTGGAGAACGCGAGGTAGCCTTAAGTTGTGAAGGCATCGGGGCAAAGATGTAAATCCACAGGCCAGAAGAGCCCCAAGACACGAGTGTTCCAAACAATAGGGGCGATGGCCTACATGCAGGAAAAGGTGTGGGTATGATGTCCGTCGACGGGGAGGTGAAACCGGCGAGAGCGGCCTAGGGGGATAGCGATCTCTCCTCCGCGTCTCGAACTCCGCCGCAATCATCCTGCCGCTCATTCGGGTCGACCCCTTTCTCGTCCTCCATTCTACTCTAAATTTGTCAGCCATTACGTCCGTCACTGTATTCTATATTGTGCCCTGCTGCTCCTGACTACAAGCCTTCGTGTCCCACGACCACCAGCTTAGGAGCGTATGAGCCAAGGGTCCTGCCAACACAGTACTGCTCCATCCTACGCGGCAATCCACAGACTCGATATGGCCGATCGCGTCCTCCTACCATGTCGTCCCCTGGCTTCATTCTTCCGCTGTACATCACTGGATTATCATGTGGCTGCCTCCTGTTCACCGTCTTCCCTTACACAACCTCATTTCCGATGTGATGACTCCAATTCGTCTCCCAAATTCATTCGCAGCCCCACAGGACCTGGTTGCTGTCTCTCCGCACCGCCTGAAAGAATCCCGCCTGTTGCGTCCCGGCCCAGTTGATCGAAATCCAGGATACAGGCATGAGCCACGGAGGAGCGTTACAATGTTATTAGACAAGGTCGACAATATACCTGGTGAGCATCTATCTGATCATCCTGTCCGCCGCAAGTTGCGGCATTCTCAGTCCTTGTCTCTCGCTAGGTTTATCTCGCCTGATTGGCCGAATCACTTCGACTGACGGTCCTCAGGGACCTCTGAGACCTATATTCTCACTGTATCACAGTTGAGGGCCCTCACTTCGTAGAGCTGTTAGACATAACCCTCGTCTCAGACGTCTTTTGCCAACGGTCGACCTCCCGTATGCGATTCGTGATTTGTGCCTTAACCTCATCGGCGCAGCTCGCGATCAAGGACTTTCTTCATGCCCTGAATGGCCAACATGCTAGTCGCGTCCACCCAGTTCTAGTACATACACCTCCGTCTTGGGTCCCATGGCTTCAATACCGCTGATCTCTGTGAATAGCGTCGGCCCCGGACGTCGGCACTGAGCCAAAGGCCCACGTTGACCCTTTTCGGGCAACCAGGCGGTCTCCTGGTCTTTCAGCTGGGGGGATGGGACAGTGGGACCGCGGAGATGTTTTTGTTACGCTCCTTAGCACATGCGCAGCGTCTGTACGTAGGGACCTCAGGGTCAAGCTGTCGATACGAGGAACAACCTTGACCGCCACACTCACGCAGTCTAACGCCACCCTGACGTAGGCGCTAACATCTGTAATCCGGCCTGGATGACTTCGTATGTCTACAGGAGGTCAGGCGGCATATCCGCCGCTCTGGGGTCTAGCTTTATGATATAAGTGCGGAAATGGTTTGTCGGGAGGATGATATGATTGGGATCGTTTGTTTGGCAACGGCTTTAGAAGTAAACAAACCCACGTGGGCCCCGGCCCGGAGTCAACGAGGTCGCCCGCCGCCTGTGGGCAACAAATACCTTTCTTCAGAACCTCCAGACGTCTTCTCGAGAACATCTGCTCTTGTGTTTCCTTGCATCGCACCTTCAGCATTCCCAGAGAAACACAATTCTTCCTGAAATGTTCGGCACTCTCATCCACCTGGGCATCGACGCGGCACTATTGAGTGCATTCTTGGCGGGAATCAGGAGGACGACCGGCCTTACGTGAGTTCCAATATCTGTGGCTCCCGGGCTCGGAGTGATAGTAGAGTGGCCCCTTGACAGGCCTAAGTTGTCTGACGTGCCCAACAAAGACATCCGACGTGAGGGTTTTGAGCTTGTATCTCTTCTGTAGCTCAGCTCACCGCCGTTCATCCTCAGAGATCCTCCGTTCCTACCTCGAGTTTGGTACGTAGGTAGTATATGCGGCTCAGTCTATTCCTCATTGACACTGCCGTGGTAGGAGAGTACTTGTTCGACTTTGTAGTGGTAATATGCGGGGTACGTCGCTCAAAAACTCCTATTACTTGCGTCGCGCGCTTAGCCACCGTCGACATTCAGCGGTCCTCCTCATTCGAACGGAAGTAGACCACCCTCGCTTCTGCATGCATGTTGTTCCAGAGGCATACATTACTGTATGTCGTCAGGACCATCGTCCTCTTCGTCTGCTCACATCTATCCACCAGCCACCACTCGTCTGCTATCACATACGCTGTCCACACCACTCTTCGCACTCCCTGCCTCTCCTTGGATGACGACGGAATATTTATAGCTCCGGGTTATACACATCACCCATGTACACGTACGTCCGCGCCGTCCACGATCCAGCAAGACACCCTCCTTCAGCACACCATGCCGGCAGCGGCTTACGGTCATCCCAGGAAATTGTACACGAAAAAGTGTAGTACAATCGAGCCTAGCGCGAAGTCCGCGAAGGCTCTGCGCATACGGACCGTAACGTAACTTTAGGACACGCGATTGCATCCGTCATGTATCGACGACGTACCGTTCTGGTGAAACATCCTTGAACTCGCTGCGGTTGGCGGGGTTCACTTGCGCACGGAGGGACGCCGCGAGGACGAACTGTCCGACGCAGCTTGCGAAACTGAGGATACTTTTTGAGTACAAGTATGACAGGATATGTAGAAGGCGTACCCCGCCAGAAACGCGTTGAAGGGGAAGTTGGTGATAAGGACGCAATAGAGGAACTGGATGATGCCGGAGAGCATGAGGAAGACCAGGAATGCGTCGATCGTCTTGAGCCGAGTGGAGGTCGATTCGTAATACGCCTTCCACAAAGACAGGAGTGGGCTCTGCGACGAGCCAGCCGTCTTGGATGGTGCGATTTTGGCGGCAGGCATGAAGGAACGTGAGTGTCGGTACGAAAGCGAGGGGTGGAGGGGGACGGTGTCGACGTGGAGAAGTCAAGTATAGCACGGGCGCAGTCGGGGTCACGCCCAAAGCGGCAGCTACGCCAGGCCGCAGAAGCGCCCGTAGAGCGTCCCAAAAAGTTTGGCGAGGCGCCCACAGCAGCAGTCGGTCTCCTCCCTGTGTCTCGTGTCTCGCGTGCTCCCGGCCCTGTCCCAACTCCCGCCTTTGTTGTCCTCACTGACGCGGCACAATGTCCAGCTTTGGTCTTCGCGTCGCGGCCAGCACCTCGCGTGCGGCGCGTGCAGCCCCTCGCTCATGTCGCATTCAGTCAAGAGCGCTCCATCAACGGAAGCAGCTCTCGTATCCGGTCGAGGAGGGCTTAGGGTCGTTCCTCCCTCCCCACTCACTCAAGATGATTGCGGAGGACTACCAGCAGGGGCTCTTAGATAGATTGAATGACCAAATCCGAGGTGTGTTGCGCTGCTGATCCCACAATGTAACTGCATTCACTGAACACCCAGCTGGCATCGTCAGGTACCTCTCTGGAGAATAAGAGCATAGTCCAGACTATCATTGACTCCGCCCGAGACCCTAATAAGGTATTGGAGTTCAACTATGCATCGGAGGCTCTGAACAACTCGTTCTTCCTTGAAAACCTTGTATGTATCCCCTATGCCTTTTAACATATCCCGTGCATCTCGACTGACCTCCCTTTGTCACCTCCGTAGAAACCCCCTCCTGCGGACGCGTCCTCCCACGAAGCCGCGCTCCATGTCAACCCTTCAGACAGGAAGTCCCTCTCTCGCCGCATCAGTTTCGACTACGGCTCCCTCACGCACTTCAAGTCCAACTTCAGCGCCGCCGTCCTCGGCATGTTCTCCTCCGGTTACATTTGGCTCGTCACGGACCAGAACGGCCAGCTCGGCATCGTCCCCACCTTCGGCGCCGGCACCCTCCTCGTCCGCTCCTCCAAACCGTCCCCCGCGTTCGAGGAGTGGCAGCGCATCGTCGGCGAGCCCATCTTCCAGTCCTTACCTGAGGACGTGTTCCCTTACCCCTCCCACGAGCCTGCGCCCGGACCCACTGCAGGCGCTTCGTCCTCGCCTCCCCCTGCAGCGAGCTCCCCGTTGTCAGGTGTCGCGCACGGGGCCCCTGGGCTCGACCCGCATGGGCACAACCGGACGATGTCGGCGTGGGCGCGCCCACGAGGCACCTACGAAGACGTCGACAAGACGCTGAACGCGACCGAGCGGGACGGGAAGAAGACCGCGGAGACGCTCTTCCCGCTCTTCTGCGTGTCCGTACACGAGCGTGCGTGGATCAGCGCGGGGTACGGCGTGTGGGGCAAGGAGGAGTATATGAAGCGTTTCTGGTCGGTCGTCGACTGGCAGAAGGTTACCCATGTGTACGAGACGATCGTTAGGGCCAACGCCCCTCGGCAACCGCTTTGAGTCGTTGGACAAGGCCGGAGGAGGGCAGTGAGCTTCTGTCGGGATTTGCTGCGGAGGTTGGATCGCTCATCGGGGATCGCTCGCTTGCATTCTGTCGTGCATCTTTTTACTCACATATAGTCGTATAGAGTCCAAAAGTACACTTAATTTGGCTTGGGGTCTACACACTGACCCACACGCGCGACGGGCGACATCCGGGAATCTGAGGAGTATACATGTACATGCAAGGCTAATGATGACTACCATCTCCACTCTATGTTACCTAGCGAGCTGCCCCGCATGCCTTTGTACGGCTTATAGACCTCCCCAGTGAGCTTGAGTTGCTCGATTTTGATGGCGGAGTAATTGTACTGGGGTACTTCGAAGCGCACACGGAAGGCACGAGATGGTCGTGGGTGTTCCGCTCTGTATTACGAACAATCAGCGCACTGCAGTGTAATGCAGAGGAACAGTCGCAGCATACGTTGAGGAAAAGGTACCACGGATATTGTAGTTCGCTGACGGGACAACCTGCTTCAGCTCCCACACCAACGTCTGCGTCTTCGGACTGTACGACCAGGACGCGCCATGGGACGCAGTGCAGCTCGCGCCAGACGCGCCGTCGCCCAAGTACAACTCTACAAACACGTTCTCCATCGACCGTGTGGTCAGGCGCGAACTGAGTGTCAGGTCCACGGATCCTCCGTGCTCGTCGATCTGGACGGTGGGACGTAGCATAAAGGGTATCGAGGTCTGCGCAACGGCGCTGGCCGTCGCGGGGGCATAGCGGTAGTCCATAAGCTTGAACTTGCCGTCTGGTGGCACGAAGGAGAGCACCTTGTCGCGTGACCATCTCTGCAGGCTATACCGTCGATGTGAGCAGGTCGCAGGTCCGGAGTGAGAGCATGGACGTACCGAACGCAAGGGTGGAACGAGCAATCGAGCAGTGATTGCGCGTTCGAAAACGTGAGCAGCAAGTCCGGCGTGCCCGACAGCTTGCAATTCGAGTCGACACGCCCCCATACAGTGCTCACTGCTGGTGTCCCATTCCTGCGCAAATAAGTTCGACCGGATGTTTACAATGAGCGTTGAGAGTGTTCACGGACTTGTTCACTATCGCCTCAAGTGTCTCCACAACATCGAAGTAAATCTCATTGTTGTTGTAGCGTACTCCAGCTTTCCGCCATGGGATGGGCGACGCGAACGGATGCGATGTTGCGGTGGAGCTGGCCAGACCGGAGACACCGGCCACTGAGAGCACCTTGTGGAGAAGTGAAGGTGGGAGAACTATGTCACGGAGAGCATTGGGAGAGGTGGTAAGGGGGTGACCTCCGGAATCAAGAGTTTCTTCAAGCAACTATGACACATCATCGCATAGCGCACAATATTAGTGGTCTTCCTAGGGAGAGTGTTTGGGACAAACGCACCTGATACACTATGTCAAAGTTGTCTTTCAGAGTCTCAGCAGACAGATGCCCGAAGTATTCGTGAAGGATGTCGACGAAGGTCTGTAAGAACGCAAACGCGTATAAAGGGTCCACTATCGACAGAAAACGTCTATTCCATAGCCTCCGGTGAATAGCTAGATGTACTCACCATCTCCGCTCACGGGACAAAGATACCTCAGCTCCCCACGTTTCATATAGCAGCACGCGCTGGGACTCTCCAGGTTAAGGCCTTGAACGTATATGACAGGATCCACGTCGCTCGGACGCTTGGCACTTGCAAGTGCAGTATTCACAGCATCGATATGGAGAAGGGAGTAAGCCGGCGGGAAGGAGTGGAAGCCGGACTGCACGATGGGACGTCTTGGCTAGGTCAGCAAGCCAACAATTCGAGAGGCCCAACAGCATACCCTGTAGTGTCAAGGATAATGAGTCCGTCAAGGGCCATGCTAGAGGGGAAGGTGCGTTGAGAGCTGAGCGTAAAAAGGTGGAGGCGGATGGCCCACGACGGACGAAATCCTATGGGGATAGGCAGCGCCCGGGTTAAGCGAGGAGGCGCGCGTCAGAGCGCCCTGCCTTCGCTTATGCCTCTAGATGTGGACGGGGCTTGAATTGCGTGATAATCTCCTCTAGACGACGGCTCGATAAGACGGCAGGACAGCGGAAAGGAATGCTGGTGGCTGAAGGGCGGTCGACAGGTAAAATAAAGATCTCTCTCCGTACTTCCCCATTATGTTGAATCTCATATTATGTAATTGAGCTCACATTGTGCTCACGCTGGTCTTGTTTCGTCTCGTACTGTATATTTTGTCTCAGAGTCTTGTTTACATGTATATATATAGTCTGGCTCGCAACGCGTAGTACCTCACGCGTTTGCACTGCGCCCAAACGCGACTTCCTTTTTCCTACACATTACGACTGAGACAAGTGGTGAAAGTTTATCATGGACATCGAATGCACAAGGTCTCTCGTGGTGATTTTCGAGTTAGGGCTTAGATATGTAGATACAAGGTAAATGGAAAAACTGCGCGAGAGAATCAATGATGTGTTAGCTCTTCTACAACTTTTGTAAGAGCACCCAGAGCTCAAAGTGAGCCCAGCAGGGTGAAAATCACGATGTTTGTGGACAGTGGCTGGCTTACATAATGTCTGTTACGACTGACTGTCGAGCGAGTAAGTGGAGACGAGCGAGGCAGGCAGGAGCGCCGACGAGCTCTGATCGCAGTGAGACTGGAGCGGAGCTCAACAGGCAGGACTGGAGACAAGTTGTGTATTGAGCGAGGTATCTACAGAGCGAAATACACGATGGCTTACCTGGAGACAAGAGGTCGAAACTAGAGTCTCCAGGTAGCAAGGGATCCAGCTATATACAGGGAACGAACAATGGGCGCTAGAGAACAACAGCGTCGCCAT